CAGGCAGTTTAGGCACCATTCACATTATGTGGCTCATTCAGAAATAAAGATTCTGGGACAATCAACTTTCTAATGGAACCTCACAGGACTGTCAAGAAACTAAACATTTGTGAAAAGCATTATTTCCCTACATATCACATTCCCATATAAACTGCAGATCAAATCTCAAGCAAGATCAAGATTCTCCAGCCACTGAACCGTACTTTTGAAAAGCATCATTTACCTGCATTTCCCCCATAAACATTCCATTAAGTCTCAACTCTCTCTAGCCACTAAACCATACTTTTGAAAGCATCATTACTTCACATAACTATATTTCCATACCAACTTTCTTCAAACCATATTTTTGGTAAGCATCTTTTCTTTCCATAACCCCACTACAATGACTTGATTTCCACGGCTGTGGCAAAACAAACAAGCATAGAATAATACAGAAAAAAATACCTCTGTGTCTCTCTCTCTCTTTCTCTCTCTCTCTCTCTCTCTCTCTCTCTCTCTCTCTCACACACACACACACACACACACAAACACACCTCTAGCAAATGTTCATAAACTGGTTATTTATTTATTTATATATATATATATGCAGACTGAGCTATTCTTCAAGTGTAGCCTGAGATATTTAAAGCCCCTACTCAAACAAAATGCAGCTACTAAGACAGGTGGAATGAAAGCTGCCCCTCTCTGGTAGCAGTTCTCAAGCGTTCTCTCATTATTTCTATAGACGAGTAGTCTGGAAGTTTCAGGTAGTTCACACAGGTCATCACTGAAGGGAGGTAGCTGTCTGGCTCATCCGAACCCTCTGGCTGTTTTCGGACAATGGTCAGCGGTGGGTTCAAGCTACGGAAACCTGTGCAGCATGAAGATAAATACAAGCAGAATTCAACAAATGTATTACAATTTATGTCAGCCAGTAAATGCTAAGAACGAACAAACATTTTCAAAGGGTTAAAAATTGGGCACACAGACCCGTCAAACATTTATTGGAGTGCCTAAAGTACCTACCGCTCTTGCATCTGTTAGGAATACCACAGGTTGTGAAATGTGATGTATATTTAACAGTTTCTTTGCTGCTATATTGATGGCTTGAACTTTGCATCATAGTTGTGACAGTGCTTTCCTGTAGATATTTTGGCTGTACATATGATATTATTTAGATGCTCAATATACACTCCTGCTCCTCCATTTCTGCTCGTGTTTTGTGCTGATCCATTCATACAGATATAAACCCAAAGATTCTGTGGGTATTTATCATTATTTAGAGCGAGGGTGGATGTTTTATGTTGCACACTGTTTTGTTCTTCTTTGTCGAATACTCTTTTCACTTCTGTCTAGATGTGTATTGGCAACATAATCCTTTTTCCAAGGGTCTGATCTGGAATAGCATTTGAGGGGCTATCAGTTGCAGGCAGATCACTGGTTTGCCTGCAGAGTCATTGGGCCTGGTGGATGAAACTGCTTCTTTTTAATCGCCATATTGCTAGATTTTGGAATCTTTCTTTCATAGGGTGTTCAGGCCTGCTAGGAAACTTTTCTGCTTGTACTATTATCTTGGTGTCTCTTTGTTCTGTCAGTGTTTCAGTCATAGCCATCTTCTCTATCACAGATATATGTTCATTTCATCAAGCCTGGACTCTAAGCACTGTGTCTAACTTTTGTTGTGTGGTTTTTTTATGCTCAACTTCATGCAGTTGACCCGTGTTATAGATGTGGTCGTACACTTTGTTGACAAACTTTCCTCAGTACAGTAGAACCTCGCTTAACAAGCACCTCTCATAATTCGCATAACGAGCAAAACAAATTGTTAAAGAATTACTTGCTTAACGAGCGACGTTTCGCATAACGAGTGGCGAGGAGACGGGAAGTCCTGGATTGTGCGCATGTTACATCAGTTTGTGTTTAGCACTTGCTCCAGTAGCATCGTAGTGTCGCCTGTGATCACACATTTTCTCAAACTTGTGTTACAGTGATATATGTACATGAATCCTCCAGGCCTACAAGATGACCTCCCTGAAGAATTTAGGTTCATCAAGATCCAGTTTCTGCCTCCCAATACCACTCCGTTACTCCAGCCCATGGACCAGCAAGTTATTTCTAACTTTAAGAAGCTCTACACTAAAGCACTCTTCGAGCATTGTTTTCAGGGGACTGAAGGAATCAACCTCACTCTCAAAGAGTTTTGGAAAAATCACTTCCACATCATTGCCTGCCTCAAGATGACCGATAAGGCGGGGGAAGGGGTTACCAAGAGAACCCTAACTTCTTCTTGGAAGAAACTTTGGCCGGACAGCATTGTCGCTTTGTGACTTTGAAGGATTTGAGACAGTACCTGTGGAACCTGTAGTCAGCGAGATTGTGTCTTTGGCCACTATCATGGGATTGTAGGTGAATAACAGTGATATCGAAGAGCTTTTGGAAGAGCACAGCCAAGGGCTGACCACCAAGGAGCTTATGGAGTTGCATTGTGTTTCACAGCAAGAAGTTTTTGAGGAGGTAACAGAAAAGCAACAATCTTCTGGCGAATTAAAGAAATGCTGAAAGCATGGGAAACCGTTGCATCTTACATTGAGAAGCATCACCCTAATAAGGAAGTGGCTATGCACGCTGCAAATTTTTTAATGATAATGCTGTGTTGCATTTTCGCCAAATTTTGAAGCATCGGAAAAAGCAAATGTCTCTGGACATCTTTCTAGTAAAAAAAATAATAATGTATCATAATTATTCGCATTCCAGGTGGGTTCGTTCTGCGTTTAAAGAAAAGGTGAAGATGATTCACTCTCCTTAACAATATATATATATATAATTTTTTTTTAATACACAGTATACATAGCATTTTGTGAGTATTTTTTTTTTACATGGAACGCATTATCGTATATTACATTAATTTATATGAGAAAAACGCTTAACGAGTATGATTATCGAACGAATTATGCTCGTTAAGCGAGGTTCCACTGTATTTTCCCACTTGCGCACCATGTTGTTCCACTTAGTTTTCTTAGGATAGCTATCTTCCTTCTGGCTTTGGTTGCTGCCTTGTTGATGTGTTTTCGCCAAGTTAACCTATCATCAGACATTACTCCGAGTGGTATTCCATTTAAATGAATGATGCTTGATTTTTTTTTTTGGGGGGGGGGGGGGGGGGGGGGGGGGGGGAGAGAGGGTTATGCTACACTTGTCTATACTGATGCCAACACACTGTTTATGAGCCCATACAGCCATTGCAACTATGACATCTTTGTCACAGTCTAGTGGCCACTGCTGCAAATTTATATTTGCACCACATTACCAAGTGGTCAGCACACACTGCAGCATTAATACCATGGGGCAGTTCAAAATTAGGTAGTTGGTGTCGTGAAATGATAGCCATTACGCATCGGTCTGTAAGGCTGATAACCTGTCTTACCTGTACTCTGCACAAAATTCAAACTTGGACTCGCCCAGAAACATATAGTCCCTTATATCTATATATATAAGCCTGTATTGGACAACATTATTATGTCTGCCTTTTCTGGTTACTTTAACTAAACTCCACTTTTAAATGTATATCTCTTGGAGAGATATTTAGGGAGTTATTGGAGGTTTCTTGGAAACCGATTTACTCCTTGCCCCAGTATACAAGGAACTTCTTTTGTACCAACGCCTGAAGTGTCTAAGCGACGCTATTCTCCTTGCCAGCTTCTCAAGCGTCCAGATGTGTTAATCTGTGCCTGTATAACTTTCACTTTTCAAGGCAATCTGGAAATGTCTCAGTTTTTACATATGCTTGGGTAAGTTAATTATAGTTTACGAGTACCTAGAATGATGTCTGTAAAGTAGTCACTGCTGTAGAGAAATCCATATCGGCTGTGTGATCTCACTTAGTTCTACCATTCTTGATCGCTAGAGTAGCGGATTCGAACGTAGATCTTACACTGTACAGACTAAATAGCTTATGCCCTCAATAAACCACCCATACCGATAAACATTTAATGCCCTTACAATTGTGTACTTTTTACACTACTTACAGAATCTGTACATACGAAATGGGGACAGAATTGGGTCAGGGCTGTGTTAATCAAAGTATGTGTGTGTTTGACCCAGATCAATGAGTGCTGGGGCGGTTGGGAAAGCCAGGGAATGCAGGTACTGACGGTAAATATTGGTGTTTGTGTGCCGAGTGAGGGGGATAGGGAGAGTGATATATGTGTTAGACCACTTTATCTATCTCCACTGTATATCTGACTTGCCTTCTCTTGCACTAAACAGACAGATAAATATAGGAGACTTATGTCTTTAGGTCTGGAGAGGCAATCTGAGGAATGAAACAGGAGAGCAGGGAGGAGTCAGCAGATGGGGGTTGATGACTGATGCTTGCTCTGTCTTTCCTGTCAAGATGTTACCCTCTTGGTGATGACTAATGTTGAGTTATTTTCTTGACAGGATGTATATTTTCTGAAGAGCTGGCAGAAGATTCACAGTCCCACCAACATCCACCAACCATCAAACCACCAGAAACAACTTGTTACCCACCAGCTAACACCTGTGAAGGTTCCTGACATCTCCAACCTGGGGGAGATGATACCTTAAACAGCTACCAGTACTAGAGCTTAATGTGGCTCAAAGACATTGTGTGTCCTTACTGGTGATAGAGACTTGCTAAATACCGGTACAGTTGCTGTATAGTGAAGTACTCTTACTACTTGATCCAGTGGAGCAGAATTCCCAGAGTCAAAGACAGTCGAATCATCCGGAGCTGAGGGAGGCATCATAGACAGAGATAAGAGAAGATAAGTCTGATGCTTCGCATGATGTTGTGTTCCTCACAGCTCCTTGTGTCCAGTGATGAGAAGATGTCATCTCCAAGACCTTCTGTCTGTGTAGTATCTTAGTGATTTGGACATGATATCCTGAGATCTGGCATTTGTCTCACTTTTATATATCTAATTTATATTGATTACATACATTCATTTTCATGGCTGACTTAGGTGTCTCTATTTCACCTTTTTAAGTGTTTAGCAGTGGTGTATGTATGTGTATCTTCATTATATGTGTTAACATGGTTATGATAATGAACTATCATAACCTGGGGGCTTTCTTTAGTAAGTAGTGGGGGTGTCCAGCCAAGTGTGCCTAGAAATATTATATATATATATTGACATATTTTGTAGTGCCAATACTTGAGTTGCCCTACTCCAGAGATAAGTTGATCGTATATTGGCCACGGGGAATCCCTTAGACCAATACGAGCCAAACGACTCAACATAATTATCTCTGAGTGCTGTTGGTTCTGAAGGAGGAATCCTTACATTAGGCACGCGACAGGAGTGATATGTGACAGTTAGTATAGACCAAAAACAGTGTTGGGGACTGGGGAACATCATGGTTAAGCAAGACCGTCTTGCTCTTCAATTCATCTATCTCTACTCTGGCTCTTCTGTTGTACAAGTACACTTTCACCCTTCTGTATATATTAATGCTGACGTTGCGTTGTTGTTTCGTTGACAATTTTATGATGCGTCCGGTGCAGTCCGAGGACCTTGACTATGAACTTACATCAAAATAAAGGTGATCAAAAAACACAGTCCTGATGCAGTTCAGAAACACTTCTACAATCTTCTTGCAGTCATTATCTCATCAAAAATACAAGTTAAATTAATGGTAGACAGCTATGTATAGGATTTTTGTAAACAATTTGATATGTGAAAATTCCAGCCACAATTTTGTTGCGACCTCAGACTCATATATTATATTATGAAGATCAAGACATAGATAGTAAGGGTAGACCAAAAAACATTCAGTAAAATGAAGACCAAGAAGCAGACAGTAAAAATAAGACCAAGAAACAGACGGTAAAAAAAAGACCAAGAAACAGACAGTCGAAGGAAGACAGAGACAAATAAGAAGAAGACCCCCCCCAAAAAAAAACAGATAGTAAAAAGAAGACCATGAAACAGATTATAAAAGGAAGACCACAAAAATCATGAAAAGATTTTTTAAAGAGTATGCTACACAAATTCCTGTAGTCCTCTAAAAAAAATATATGGCTAAAACAAAAACTATTCCTAACGCTTGATGCAAACAGACCAAAGTTAGGTCATCCCCGTTCCCCTTTTCCAACCTTTTCACTAACTCTTTCATTCCCAGGCGGTTGCTGCTTTCATACTATCTTGTTCTTAAGTGTGTGTACATTAGAGGAACAGTCTTAGGGTCTTAAGGAGACTAACTTACACAGCTTTAAGATAAATGATAATATTGTTACATAACAAATGAATGGAAGGAAATGTGTTGAGAAATGCATACAATGTACTGAGTAATAATCAAAAAAGACATGGTGAGTTTTTACTGAAAGTGTTAAGGAAAGACTGCAGGCATATAATCTCTTACCTCCAACAGGCAACCTTGGTGACCCAGTGACAAACTGCAGGAAGTCCCTCTGCTCCGAATTTGTGTAGTTACTGAGGACCTCAAACAGGAACTTCACGGCCTGTGAGTCATGGGTGTAGCCATGGTCAGGGCGGCAGCAGTCTATCAACATACGCACATCCCACACATCTGCCGAGTTGCCACAAAACAGCTGCTCCAACTGCAGACAAGAGAGTTAAAACCAAAAACATTAAGGACAAACACCCTTTTAACTTTTCCAATGCCAAACAGCTGACCATACGTTTCCTGGTCAGCCCAAAGACAATATGACAGCGTTTCACAACCTATGGGTCGTAACGCTTTTGGGGGTAGAACGACCCTTTTACACGGGTTGAATGACCCTTTTACGGTGGTCGCCTAAGACCATCGGAAAACACAAATTCATTGAAGTAGCAACAAAAATAATTGTATGGCTGGGGGTCGCCAAAACATGAGGAACTGAATTGGAGGGTTGCCACATTAGGAATGTTGAGAGCCATTACAATATGATATTCTTGGTGTTTTCTATTACAGACAGTTGTTATATTATCTCCCCCCCCCCCCCTTTTCAGCAAACTACTGGATGTAAAACTACCTAGTAACCCCACTAAACACCAACAAATGATAAGGGGTTACTTTGTGACATCTTGTAAAGGATAAAGTACCCTTTTCACGCCAATGGTGCAGCTGGCATATGATACTAACCTCATATTTTTCTAATAGACCATCCGGTAGGACATGTGGCAACAAACTGGCCACCTTTACTTCCCAGGACATTACCTAGTACCCACTTTATGCTTTGCTAGACCTCAGGGCCAAGTTTTTTTTTATTTTTTAAATTTTTTTGGGGGTGCTTATATGGATTTGAACCCAATACTTTAAGGCTGGCAGGCGTCTAGTTTTATGCAACCACCTTTAAAAAAAAACACTGCCCCATCTTGAAGGATATATGGTGCTAGCCACATAATTGTACAGCCATCAGTACTTGAGAAATGTGATCCTTATCATGTTGCCCACTTTTGCATACCCGAACAATTCCTTTACTTTTTTTGGGCATATTTCTTCTTTTCTTTCCGTTCTCCCTGCCAGTGGTTTTCAGATGAGAAGGCCCCAGAACTCTATGAAGGCCTCTGTAGACAGGATCACACAAAGCATGAGCTTCACAACTCCAGCAACAACTCCTAGCGATCTAAAAAAAAACACCTGTATATTAAGTGGATACGGGGTCGACTTCGTATTACGCTTCTTAAAATCTTGGTTGTCCACCTACTTCTGGACTTTTGGTCTTGTTAAGTGACTTGAGTTGTGTGTGCATATCTGTTTAACAGATCAGGCTTATGTGTGTGCAGTTTGTTCGCTCCTAGTCACTCAAGCAGATCCCTCACCCCCTTTTCAAAAGAAGTTGATCCTATCTACAACACTGGCCAGGCTCCCAGCTGGGATCCAATTTCTAGGCTAACTGTGAAGAGGTCTTGGCCACCAGCGGATGGGGAGAAACCCCCTCCATTCCTACAAGCTTGCCTGTCTGTAAACACAATACTTACCTCTTCTGGGTAGAAACCCCCTCCATTCTTACCAGCTTGCCTGTCTGTAAACACAATACTCACCTCTTCTGGGTAGAAACCCCCTCCATTCTTACAAGCCTGCCTGTCTGTAAACACAATACTCACCTCTTCTGGGGAGGAACCCCCTCCATTCTTACAAGCTTGCCTGTCTGTAAACACAATACTCACCTCTTCTGGGGAGGAACCCCCTCCATTCTTACAAGCTTGCCTTTCTGTAAACACAATACTTACCTCTTCTGAGTAGAAACCCCCTCGATTCTTACAAGCTTGCCTGTCTGTAAACACAATACTCACCTCTTCTGGGTAGAAACCCCCTCCATTCTTACAAGCTTGCCTGTCTGTAAACACAATACTCACCTCTTCTGGGGAGGAACCCCCTCCATTCTTACAAGCTTGCCTGTCTGTAAACACAATACTCACCTCTTCTGGGTAGAAACACTGCAGTGTGGTGAGAGGGAACAGAGTCTCAAAGCCCTCGCGGAAAGCATCAAACTGACGGCTGATGCCCTCAACCAGGCTCCACTGTAACACCAGCTGTAATTAAAACAGGTACACATTTACTGTATAATGTACACGTGGTTGTGTGTGCTTCTGGTCAAATGTGAACATACTGAAGTTCAATGTTTCATTTAGCAGTAGTCAGGACTTTCCCATAAGGACTCTGTCCCCATCTTTCAGCAGCCAACATAGGGATCCAAAACAAACGGTGCCAGCAGCGGTCTGATTAAATGTCCGCCTTTCCTTTCCTCTGGCCGGTTAGTTTGGGCCAGATACCATGGTCAGTTCCTGCTGTACCCTTCTCTCTAGATGATGATTATTTATTAACATTTCCGTTTCGCCTGCTTTCCAGAGCAGTTTGCTGCCCCAGTGTTAGTTGAGTGTTGAGCTACAAACTGAACTGACATCACAGCACTCAGGACATTCCCATAAGGACTCTGTTCCCATCTTCAGCAGCCATCATAGAGTTTCCAATACAAACGGTGCCAGCAGCAGTCTGATTAAAGGTCCACCTTGCCTTTCCTCTAAGTGTTGAGTTTTGGCCAGATCCCATGGTCAGTCCCTGCTTCACTCTTCTCTCAAGAGCAGTGTGCTGTCCCAGTGCTTCTTGAGTGTAGAACTTAACTGACAGCACAGCAATGGGGACATTCCCATAAGTGCTCTGTCCTCATCTTCATCAGCCAGCGAAGTGGTTCCAATTCCAATATTTCCAGTAGCAGTTTGACTGCAAGAAAGGCAAATAATAAGAGAAATGACAGGACAAAAACTGGTCAAAAACTGGTATCAATGGATACAAGACAAAGAAGAAGACATACTGGGCACAGACTGAAAAGAAACAAGAAGAGAATCACTAAAAAGGCAGTGAAATGGGAGGTTGATTGATTTAAGAAACAAGGATGCCTAAGAGAAACCTTAAAATGAATGTTGATAAGAAAGGCCTAAGGTGCCAGACTGTATTCCATCCATGACACTGAAAGAACTGCTAGGATAAATCAGAACAGAAGTGCAAGCCATTTATGAACAGAAGTTCAAGCCATTTATGACATAACTTCTGCTTCGAATTCAACAACTATAAACAGACAATTTTAATCTTGCTCCAGAATGAGTTTTGCATGCACCTCCACTTTACAAATCAACTTTTTGTATAAACTGTTGGTCAACTTTTGCGACAAGCATATAAGGGGTGCGCTGGGTCTATTCTTCTTTCCCCCCAAAAAATGTGGAGCCAAAACCCACATGGGGACGGACAGTCCATGACAGTCTTCTTCTTCACGTTCATCAGCTGTAAACTCCAGCAGAAAGTTCTGGTTGTTCATCCATTTCTGGACTGTAGTCCTGTTGCAGACCATGAGTGTTGCACATGCATCTGCATAACAGAACTGAATTATTTGTTAAAACCCAGGAGAAATTTTCAAATTTAGGGCTAATCCTTGCACTCCGACTTCAAAGAAAGCTCCCAATTAGTAGACTCTTACGACATGCTTTTGGGTAGGCAGTGAGTCTATTCTTGTTTTCCCTAAAACAGGGCCCCAGAACCTACACAGGGACAGTCCATGACTGTGAAAAGGACAGCAAGGATAAAAGAGAAGGGAGAAATTGAAAGACATTTATGACATATAATGGCACAAAAGGATGGAGATAATGATTCATGCTAACTGCTGCACAATCGCAGCTCCCTCTAATGAAACAAAAGGCCATATATCTCACCTGCAAGTACTCCTCTAGGTTGTCCACTGTGACCTGTGTATCCCTGCCACCTTTACAAAGCTCAATGTTTTCAGCACCGGGCAATACAAAGTACAGGTCCAAATCTTCCAGGGAGCACCCATCCATGTTCAGGTTTGACAGTGCTTGTTTCCTGCCTTCCTCTGTCTAGATTACCACAAAAATAACCACTCATACAACTGAATTATAACAAAATTTTAAAAAATTTAAAGTCTGTCGTGTATCCGTTACAGCAGTCATGTGGGTCTAACGGTTTAAGGTTTAAACAACGGATCAACATCATGGCACAGGGGTAGTAACCCATAAGTGCTCAGTTCTACTTCTAACTCAAGTCCAGGTCTGACGAATCTTAGCGCAATGCACGAACTCCGTAGCACCAGGAGGATCCTGAAATACTTTGGGTGGATTTTTAACTCAAAATTTTGCCTTAGCAGTGCCGTCAGGCTACTAATTTTGATTTCCAACTGCCAAGGGATTTTTTTTACATGCGCAACAGTACACACAGGCATCCGATCTTACTACCTATAGACCAGGAAAAATTACTAGAAGTCCACGTGAAAAAATCTGAGCCTTTACCCGGAGGTTGAACCCGGGACCTCTAGCACTCGAGGTGGACGCCATGCCTCGAGACCATGCAGCTCCCCATGTGGGTCATATTTGTACTGTCATGAGGGCCACCTATGACAACTAATTCGAGTCATTTTATAATAATGAGTGCAGAATATTTCCTTTATGCAGGCTGTGTGCCTGCGAAGGGACGCATGCAGCCCGTGAGCTGCCAGTCTGACATGCCAGCTTTACAGAACCAACCCCAGCATTTTTTTGGCTGTGATTACACTAGATCTCAAATCCACTGTTTAAACCAGTGCAAGGTGGTCTGCTGCCAAATCACCTACAGTTGGGATCTGTGGCACCATGGAATTAGGAAGTGCATTTGCAAATGCCTAAGCCAGACAACCGCAACATTTCTTTTTAAAAACACAGTGAGTTAATTAATTCATACATAAAAACACAAGTATACACAGCAGAGGTAGACCTAGAACACGATGGAAAGACAACATAAGAGAATCTCTACAACAGCACAATGTGTCTGTGTTCGAAGTGGTCAGGGGGAAAAAAGCAGAACCTTATATATCTTTCTCGACATCCGAAGTAGTACAAGAAGAAGTGAAGAAGAATAATAAGTAATTAAGTCTACTAAACAAAAAGAGGTTTCAAGGGGCTCATGATGCCAGCTTTACACACACAAAAACCTGATATTTAGAATGCAATTCTTTTTGTGACTTTGATTTTTATAAATTATAATACGTTCTTCGTTTAACTAATTGTGAGCGACATATGGCAACACCCAGTAGAACTGACAACTAAGCTTTGGGGAAACCTAAGAGACCTTGAAAAGACATCCCAGTTTATGACCCACAGTGGATTATGCGCATGACCAGAGATCGCTGAAGAAGATAACTAATTGTGTATCCCCTACAGAACCAACCCAAGGCTTTTGGGCTGCTGCGGTTTTTCTAGGCATATTTCACATTCAGTAGTTTGTCACTGCTTTCTGAAAGGTCAGCTTTTTGTTCCACTGTCAAAACCAACACAGACGTTCTACTGCCAAATTGCCCGCAGCTGGGATCAAACCCGGCACCCCGGCACTATGCGTAAGTCATAGACAGTATCACTCTCAAAAAGAGTGGGTTCCGTGGCAGACCTTCGGAAATAGGAAGAGGCTGCCTGTGGGCTATAGCTAACGTGGAAATACTGCTCCAGGGTAAAACACCGAATCAGTACACTACCAGTTAATGCCAGGGATGAAGTTACTCCTCTCAGTAGCACAAAGCCTGTGCAGTATTGCAGAGACCATGTGTTGCCTGTGCATCAGGACCCCTCTCTCTGACTGCTTTGTTTACTCCAAAGAAAAGGTAACACCAGTATGTTTGGAACAAAGCATGCAGCAGAAAGAAGCTGGTGGATCAGAAGAGCAGTGATTTGTGTGTCTGCCTGTTGGTACTTTACAACCATAAAATAAAATGATTTAACTTTGAAAATATTTATAAAAAATTAACAATTCAAGTTACAGAATTTATTGTTAGTCCTTAGTCAAAAGTCCAGGTTCAACCATCACTGCAGATAGGTTGCCCCATATCTGCTCCGTTCCAGTACAGAAGTGAATGTGTTATAACTTAATATAACAAAACACCAGCAATGTTTTGAAGCAAAACTCATAAGAAAACTTCAACATACCAAAGATCTGTCACTGCAGATACGCTTTTTCTGATGCACAATATTCTCAAGCTGCTGGAAAGAACGAGCTAATACTCTATCCACATGGAAGAGATCACTTGAAGTCAGTGAGTTCTCTTGTCCCAAGATCCATTTATAGAAGATCAAACTCAACGGCAAGTCCAACTGGAGGAAAAAAAACATACACTTTACAGTTTAGTTTTTAAGTATGGCATCCAAACTGTCAAACAAGTAATGGGGCAACTATCTTCCCTGTTGACACACAAGCAGATACCCCGGAGTACTAAATTGAATCTTATCAGAACTATTTTTTAGCCAACACCATGATATCAATGCCAAACGTGGACACTTACATTCTCCAGTAAACATAAAATTGTGACAGCAGAGATTAAATGTCTTAGAAGAGCTGCAGGAGTTTCAAGGAAAGAGAATATGAAATCATGAAATCAGACGAGTGCTAGGAATACAGCCAGTCTTACAAGTCATCAAAGAACAGCAAATGAAGTGGTCTGGACCCCTAACAAGAATGCCCTGGTACTATCTGCCACAGCGAGCCACACTAAAATGTTACAACAGGTACAGAGCGAGTGGAAGGCCTCGTATGGAACAGCCTTACAGAAAAGAACATCAGTCTTAATAGTGCTCTTGACAGAGCTCATCAACGAATGTTAAATCTCCCCCCGACACTTCGCTGAGGTAAAAGGTGGAAGAGAAGAAGAAGAAGAAGAATCCATACTGTCAGTTGCCCGGCCGGCCGATCTGCCGTGGCTAATATGCCGGACCGGACTGCGTGTGTCATTTGATTACACTGATTCCGGTGCCGTCTGCGCAAACGGTTTCGCAGGTGTGTGCGTGAGAGAAAAGCTTAAGAAAACTGTTAAACCCCCACAATGCCAACTGGAAATACTGTGAAGGATCATGAATCAATCACCTGCAGTAGCATAATACTTTTATTTTATTTTTAACACGGCTGAGTCTAAGGTCGATAATGGGCACCAGAAACATGTTTTGGGAGGAACAATTTGACAGCAGAAGGGAAATGGCTACCTCATCACATATGTTATGGCCTAGAATTTGTCAATGCATTATACTCCCATGATGCAAGGTCGAAGAGATAACTTTAAGTCAGTGAGTTCTCTTGTCCCAGGATGAATTTATAGAAGACCAAACTCAATGGCAAGTTCAAACTAGAGAAAAAACATACACATTAGTTTAATTTTTAAGTATGGCATCCATACTGTCAGATGTCCGGCTGGCCGATCAGCAGCAGCCAATCTGCCGGACCGGAGGACTGTGAGTGTCAGGACATCCTTGTTTCTTCAGTTAACTTGTTTCTCATTTCAGTGCCTGTTTGGTGATACTGAGTCTGCTTCTCCTCAGGAGGTGGCCAAAATATCAGAACCTTCTTTGTCTAACAACTGTATCAATATGAGAAGTCTATCATCCTAAAAGATCAGTCACTTAGTCATCAAACCTGTCAAACATTATGTGATACACAATGAAACGTCTAAATAATGTGGACACAAACAAAACATCTCATAATTTATTGTCAGGAATATTTTGCTGCATCTCATCGGGGGCATTACTAAAAGAAACAAGTGAAGGACCTAGTTCCATGCTGTTCAGCATATTGGGCATATAGGGCTGGCCTTTATTTTATAAACCGATTGGCAGTTGGTGGGTGATGTGGTCAACATCAAGCTGACCACCTTTACTTCCCAGGAGTTTGCCTGGTACCCAATTAAGGCTGGATCGACCTGGGAGCCAAGGACGCTTTTGAAAAAAAGTCGAGCTCTGTCAGGAACTGAACCAATGACCTTCAGATCCACAGGCAAGCATCTAGCTGCTGCACCACAGCGGCTCGAGGGTGCAATACTACAGTGACATCAACATATGATGAAGCACAAATTCTGAATTAATTCCACCGAAATACAAATAGTCTCTCTCGGTACATTGTTCATCTAATCCTTACTGGGTCATTTCTCTTCTACCCTGAGGTGTAGAGGTTTTCCAGAGAGATCGCCAGACTTCTCTATCAGCAGCTTTCTGTCTTGCTTTGTTGTATTCCAGTCCTCTGTCAGTCAGGGACTGTCCGATGTTGTCTTCCCAGCAGACCCTGGGTCAAACTGATTCTTAGCCTCCCATGCCTGCCATGGTGGCTGATTTTCTCCCATTCTGCATAAATGTCTAAATCATCGTAGCCATGACTGATCCACTCGAGTTTGTAAGGCCTGGGTTTCAAGATCTTGACATATTGCCTGATTTCAAACGTTGTTCTTTCTTGTTATTTGGACCGCCTTTCTCTGATATTTCATTTCTGATGTCTGAAGTTAGTTTCCATGAGCTGTTGTCATTGCCCATGACTCACACCTGCAGGTCAGGACTGACACAGTTCATCTAATCCACCGTTATTCAACCTATGGGCCGAACTTCAACTGGTGGGCCACGGAAAAGTCCAGCTAGGCTGTCAAAAACTTTTACCTTATCATGTAAAAGGGCCGGGTTGGTAGTTTTCCTCTTCCAGAATTGAGTCTGTAGGACTAACACTTCAAGAATTAGAATCAGGCAGGTATAAATTCCAGAAACCCTGCTGAACCCCATAAAACAGTTCATATTGGGGCATTTTTTGGGGCATATTCTAACAAAAATGAAGCAGCTGAAAATTGTTCTGTTATGGCATCAAATTTAACAAATAAACTGCTTTTTATATTTATTTTTGTTTCTGTGTTGTTAGCTATCAGGCTGGCCACGAAACAATATCCCCTGTTTTGGCAGGCCATGTGTGTTAAAAAAAAAAGCTGAGAAACACTGGTCTAATTGCTAGAAGTTTATGATGATCAGATGACTTTTCAAGTCTAACATGCAAAAGAAGCAAAGTAATTTTGTGGTGTAGGTAAATGAAAACCCAGGTCTGCAGGCTGCATACTGTTGGCTACAAAAGAGATAGCCCATGATGTATGAGATGTTCAATATATGGAAGTGAGGTTAAACAGTCATGAGCAGGACATGACGATTCCTTGGGTGAGCCCAGTACCAGAGCTCCATGAATTATTTGTGGAAGCCTCCTTGGATGGCGGGAAATGCTCACGTTCTGTCCCTGCCTTCTCTTGAGGGCTGATCAGCATTACATGGCCTCTCTGCACCAGCCTGATTGGGGCACTACCTGTCACCTGGGAAATAAAGATGACCACACAACAATGAGACTGCCATGTCCCCAGAAACTAACCGGGAAGGTTAACCCGGTCAACAAATGCCCGCAGAAGTCGGATGTGTTGGCCAAAAGGTGCAAATATCGTAACCATGCTGTAAATGGACACAACACAATTACATCTTCGGACGAACGCAGAAGAAGAAGAAGACTTTTCAGGGTTAACTTCAAATTTATAATGAATTCCATCTAACAGGTCCTCACCATTCTGGAATCCATCAGGGCTTTGGCCATAAACTTGCCCAAGAACTTGAACTTGATCTTGACCTTGTTGACGTGTGCAGCCTTGGCAGTGCGGTGCAAAGGTAAGGGGAAGAGCCCACATGGTGACTGGGTGTAGTCCACCTTCATATTGGGATCTGCTGGGCTGGTGGCGGCGATGGAGTCACCCCTCCACAGCTCCAAGTCGGTGCGCTGGAGTTCTTTAGATACAAGTGCATAGAACTCGAGCGTTGGACCCAACCCTGTCCCCACCTGGAGAAAAGAGGTTAAGTTGCATGTGTCAATATTAATGTCTGGATTGTAAATGATTACTTTAACTGAAAATGGGTATCTGTTTATCAGTTAATTACAGTTTAGACTTCACAGAAAATAGATCCATCTATAGTCAGGTTGCTCCGTGTGTTGTTTACCATTTCCAGTAGATATGTAGGCGTGAATTGCGTGGGTTTTTGTAATCGTTACAACACGGTGGTCAACTGTGTTTAAGATCACATTTGTGAGCATAGCTTATGAATGCGCACATGAGAAAGCAATACAATTTTGGGTGAACACTATTCACTGCTTATGCAATTAAAACCCTATAAAAGGATAACTCTACACCAAAATATACACTTCATTTTCAAGCAGTCACAAATGGAGTCTCTATAGATAAATTTAAGGAATATTGCTATATGTCGATGCAGGCAGGAAAAAGTCATCAGGTTTCCAGGCATCTAAACGTTCATCAGAGTACCATCAGTTGACTTTGGCACCAGTTCCAAGCCACTGGTTCAGCTGAAGACCGACATCGCAGTGGACAACCCAGAGTGACAACAGCAGCAGAGAATAGAAATTGTTTGGAATAGAATGCATGAGGCTTTGGTCATGATCACCACACCGAAAAGCCTGTCCTTACGCTCAGCCACCGCCAAAATCGACTTATTTGGGCCAACCAACATCGTCCCTGGGCAGGTGACAATCAGTGGATACGTGTCTGGTGCAGTGACAAATCTTTATTTTTGTGGCAGCGTCATGACTGGCAGTGTAGGGTCTGCCGTAGACAAAATGAAGGTTTAGCCTAAAAGTGTGTTGATGAATCTCTGCTGCAGGGTGGTAGGGGTGTAATGGTGGAAGGAATGATCAGTTTCAATGGAAGGAATCAACTGGTGCACATTGATGGAAACTTGAATGCGTAACGATATCTTTGACCACTTGTCCTTCCATTTTGGGATGTCAAAAGATATCTTTTTCAACAAGACAACGCCAAACCCCATTCTGCATAGTTGACCATGCAGCTCCTGGCTACCAATAACACTTAAACTCTTCCCTGGCCATATGTGTCTGCAGAGGTGTTTGTCGCTGAGACGTTCCAGCCAACGATTGTGATCCATTCCAGGCACTCCAGGAAGAGTGGGCAGCCATCCCACTGGCCCACATCAGACATCTGATCACATCCATGCCTAGGAAATGCGAGTCACTGGTCCATGCAAGAGGAGGCCACACACATTACCAATGGCAAAAGCTGTACGCAGATAGATAGAAAAAAAAAAAAGAAAGCAGGAAAACCAGAAGTGAAAGCCGCAAAGAAGGAAATCTATTGTTTCCCAATGTCAGATATTAACATTCTCTACGCATTAAGGCATCTGTGGCTTAGGTTTTGCGAATGTGCTTCGCAGTGCCGGGTTCAATCCCAGCTGCAGACAGTTTATCTTGCGCTGGTTTTGACAGTGGTACCGTGAGCTGACCATTCACAAAGCAATGGCAAACTACTGAACATAAAATATGCCAAGAAAACCCACAACTTCCTGTAAAGAATATGAAACTAACTTTTTGTGCTTCAAGGCAGCAGCAAACACTTTACCTCATTTTCATAATGTATCTCCAGCATAGCTCTAGCACTGGTTGTTCCGCCCAGGTCTTCCATCACCTTCTCTGCTTGTTTGAGGACATCTTTGCGGCTGACTTCCCTCTGAAATGAAGAGACAAAAATGCATGACTAGTGTTTACAAAGTAAACTAATCTGCCAAACTGCCAACCAAAACAGACAACTAGCAAATATTTTTTTTTTTTTCAAGCTGGGCGATCCCTGTTGGTTTAGGGCCTGAATGTTGAATGTTGAATTAAGAATCAACATCACAGCACTAGGGACACTCCCATTAGCGCTCCGTCCCCATCTTCAGCAGCAAGTGAAGAATTAAAATTCCGATGGTACCAGTAACTGTCTGATCATATATCCGTCTCACCCTTCCCCTGAGTGTCGAGCGTCGGCCATATCCCCTTGTAACTCCTCTCAGTGCCATTCTCCTCAGACCATAATGATCTATCTGTTCCTCGGCACTGTTCACTCATTCCCAAAAGGCCCTCACAACATCCAGCTTGTCATACATCAATTCACCACCAAGTGGTGCAGAACCGGCCAGTCTATCCGCCTGACTCTTTGATATGGTAAGCATGCCAAGTCCATAATCCATCACTGACAAGATCACATGCTGGAACATTGTGAAAAACATTCTGTGTTCCATGTCTGAAATAACACAGCATTCAGGACAAGCCTACATGAGCTCGGCCTCCCATCTCTCAACATTCAGGACAAGCCTACATGAGCTCGGCCTCCCATCTCTCAACATTCAGGACAAGCCTACATGAGCTCGGCCTCCCATCACTCAACATTCAGGACAAGCCTACATGAGCTCGGCCTCCCATCTCTCAACATTCAGGACAAGCCTACATGAGCTCGGCCTCCCATCTCTCAACATTCAGGACAAGCCTACATGAGCTCGGCCTCCCATCTCTCAACATTCAGGACAAGCCTACATGAGCTCGGCCTCCCATCTCTCAACATTCAGGACAAGCCTACATGAGCTCAGCCTCCCATCTCTCAACATTCAGGACAAGCCTACATGAGCTCGGCCTCCCATCTCTCAACATTCAGGACAAGCCTACATGAGCTCGGCATCCCATCTCTCAACATTCAGGACAAGCCTACATGAGCTCGGCCTCCCATCTCTCAACATTCAGGACATGCCTACATGAGCTCGGCCTCCCATCTCTCAACATTCAGGACATGCCTACATGAGCTCGGCCTCCCATCTCTCAACATTCAGGACATGCCTACATGAGCTTGGCCTCCCATCTCTCAACATTCAGGACAAGCCTACATGAGCTCGGCCTCCAATCTCTCAACATTCAGGACAAGCCTACATGAGCTCGGCCTCCCATCTCTCAACATTCAGGACAAGCCTACATGAGCTCGGCCTCCCATCTCTCAACATTCAGGACATGCCTACATGAGCTCGGCCTCCCATCTCTCAACATTCAGGACAAGCCTACATGAGCTCGGCCTCCCATCTCTCAACATTCAGGACAAGCCTACATGAGCTCGGCCTCCCATCTCTCAACATTCAGGACATGCCTACATGAGCTCGGCCTCCCATCTCTCAACATTCAGGACAAGCCTACATGAGCTCGGCCTCCCATCTCTCAACATTCAGGACAAGCCTACATGAGCTCGGCCTCCCATCTCTCAACATTCAGGACAAGCCTACATGAGCTCAGCCTCCCATCTCTCAACATTCAGGACAAGCCTACATGAGCTCAGCCTCCCATCTCTCAACATTCAGGACAAGCCTACATGAGCTCGGCCTCCCATCTCTCAACATTCAGGACAAGCCTACATGAGCTCGGCCTCCCATCTCTCAACATTCAGGACAAGCCTACATGAGCTCAGCCTCCCATCTCTCAACATTCAGGACAAGCCTACATGAGCTCAGCCTCCCATCTCTCAACATTCAGGACAAGCCTACATCAGCTCAGCCTCCCATCTCTCAACATTCAGGACAAGCCTACATGAGCTCAGCCTCCCATCTCTCAACATTCAGGACAAGCCTACATGAGCTCAGCCTCCCATCTCTCAACATTCAGGACAAGCCTACATGAGCTCAGCCTCCCATCTCTCAACATTCAGGACAAGCCTACATGAGCTCGGCCTCCCATCTCTCAACATTCAGGACAAGCCTACATTAGCTCAGCCTCCCATCTCTCAACATTCAGGACAAGCCTACATGAGCTCAGCCTCCCATCTCTCAACATTCAGGACAAGCCTACATGAGCTCAGCCTCCCATCTCAACATTCAGGACAAGCCTACATGAGCTCAGCCTCCCATCTCTCAACATTCAGGACAAGCCTACATGAGCTCGGCCTCCCATCTCTCAACATTCAGGACAAGCCTACATGAGCTCGGCATCCCATCTCTCAACATTCAGGACATGCCTACATGAGCTCGGCCTCCCATCTCTCAACATTCAGGACAAGCCTTCATGAGCTCGGCCTCCCATCTCTCAACATTCAGGACAAGCCTACATGAGCTCGGCCTCCCATCTCTCAACATTCAGGACAAGCCTACATGAGCTCGGCCTCCCATCTCTCAACATTCAGGACAAGCCTACATGAGCTCGGCCTCCCATCTCTCAACAGTCGAAGAGACTTCATACTGCTGGTGCCCACTGTCACCTGGCTAACTAAACAAGGGATTGCTAGGGTTGGGCACAAGTACAATATGCCCTTGTGACCTATGGCAGCTCTCCGAAGTGGTAAAAGAGGAAGCGAAGAAGAAGTAAACCAAAAAAAAATTAGAAAAATGTGAAGTATATATAAACTTTGCAGAACACGATAAAATAAATAAATGAATTTTGCAGCTCATGCTTTCACCAGCAAACAACTAGAACAACGTGCAAGACACAAAAAGGGAAATGTATTTTCCTACATCATTCAGGTTCAAACTCCTCAGTTTACCTTATTAAAGTTACATGATACTTGCAGACAGTTTTTATTATCTAGGAAAACTATTTTCTTCCTAAACGATAAATGATACTTACAGAAAAGTTTTTATGATCTATGAAAACAATTTTCTAGTTTAAAACAATGTTTCTACCTTTCCTGCAGTGAAAACTTCTGCGATTTTCAGTGAGTGTTAAAAAGTAATAGCATTTTTATGTTTTGTGACTCAAGATGAGGCGAATTATGTTGCAACTGTTCTGCCAAGATGGTGACTCAGTACATCCAGTTATGTCTGCTTTCCCCAGCTATGAGGAAAACTCATCTGACAGGCGTCAGTCTTATTTTTGTGCCTGCCAGAGGCAATGAATGAGCAGACTGGCTTGCTGGCACGGCCATGGTAGGCACAGGAGAAGCAATAGACTAAGCTAATATTCTTAATGGCCTAAAAAAAAAGGCAGGATGAGTAGATGATTCAAAAAGAGTGGTTAAATGACAACCTTGACAAAAATTCAAAGCTTTATGTTTAAAAAAAAGTGTCGCAGACATGAACATTATATGGGTAGCCAAAGAAGAATAGTAACACACAACTGGTGTTATCAGCTGCCACAAGCTGAGGAAGATACTAAAGTTGGGATCTGAGTGCTCATGGAGTTTTCCAATGGGCAATGAGGATGATCAGTCAACTAACCAACCAACTATGTTACCATTAACATAGCTTCCCCAGTTACTAGAACACACAAATCAAATACAACACACACCTGAGAGAGCATCTTTATGCAATACTTACTCTTTTCCTGTCTAGCCTTGGCCCGACTCTCTCACTGTCATGGGTAGAGCTTTCTCCAGCCTGATCTTGCTGCAGTCTCAGCACGGCACGATCTCGATCAAAGGTTGTTGCAAAGAACAACATCTGTCTTGTATCAAAAGGAAACAGAAAAGGCCTGCAAAGATGCAACAGTTACATGCTGTGTCATTAGACAGAATCAACATTTGAAATACATAGAATAAACATGTACGCACAATTTAGGACATGACAACATCAATCGGGCAGCAAATTACATTTATTTTTTTTAATCTTCCTAGAAGAAATCTTTAAAATTATTTGCATGTGGCTGGGCAAAATCAGCTGTAAATCTTCTACTTTTATCTTCTTTGCGTTTAAAAATAAAAGGACATTTGCTACACTGTGTTGTGGTTTACAGCTAGGGTGAAATATCCGCCTGTCTTATTTCGGCAAACTAATTAGTCATCTTTTATGACAAGCTTATTTGGGGTCAGTCGACCCCCCCCCCCCCCCCTCTACTATATATATTCTCTTAAATAACTATATAACATTTAATACAAATATAACCTACATTTTTTTGTTTAAATAACAAATGTATTTGCCAGGTGTGAGTACAAATTTAATCAACGGTAACTTAAAAATTTGCAAAAATCCTAGAATTGTGTGACATGTTCAGCAAAATGCAGTTAATTCTTTTCTGGTCTCCCCTGGGGGCCGCATTAGCGCAGTCGATAGAAGGCTCACTTTCAAATCCAGTTGCAGCCCACGGCTGGTGTTCGAAACCGGACGGTTCCCCGGGTTCACCCAGCCTCTGTAGATGGGTACCAGAGTTAACACTCTAGGGTAAATGGAGGAACGTCACTGTGGCTACGGAGTTTCGTGCAGACAGTGACACAGGCGGACAGTTCTTATTAGCTATCCGTACTGGTGGCAGAGCACTTATGGTTTATAACCGTATGCAATGGCGCTGGTTCACATCTCCCGACTTTACCTTTACCTTTCATGAATAACCTTTCCTTTTTATTTTGTTAACATGCATTTATCACAACAGTATTTCTCCCTTTTGTTATTTTTAATAACATAGAGCCAGGACATTAATAAGACTCGTGCATTAATGCAAGTATTCATGAAAAATTATTCTAGTCATTTGCAAACTAAACCAAACAAATTAATCTGATTATTTCTACTTGAATAAAGCACTGGTGGAACACAAAAACCCTGAGCACAAAAACCAAACCACTGACGCGGCCTGTCCAATCTCCGGAAGCCAACTGGGCAGGTTGCCTGTCATGATAATGAGGGGATCCTGCAGCTGTCTGCTGGCTTTGGCTGTCAGTTTGCTGCTGACAAACTCACTGTGTGGCAGAACTATAGATGGCAGGAATGATACCTGGAAGGGAAATGGGGAAGGTTGAGTGTAAACAGATTTCAATAACATCACAAAGATTTGAGGGTTCCAACCCTCACAGTCAAGTATTAAAATTCTCTCCTTAAGATTTCATACGTCCAATCAGTCAGTCAGTCATCACCATCTGCATACCAATAATCATAGGCTTATTACGTAAACATCTAATTCAATCACCAGAATCATGGATCAGGTCTGTGTTCTCATCTTGCCGCATTCAACAGCATCCTGTGCTTCAAGGCATTGAAGTCTGACCTTTTGTGGACGTTTTAGTTTTTATTCTACTTTTCCTGGTGGTCTTTTTGAATGAGTCTTTTACAATTATTTTCCCCTGAATTTTCAACTTTTGACATGTTAAGCTGCCTTATCCCTTGGTGTTTTTTGTTTGTTGTTCATGTACAGATCATCTTTATTGCCATAAGTGACTGCATGGTGCAGTCATACATAGATAACCAGTGTCTGTTTAACGAAAGATCTTACATCATACATAGATGACCAGTGTCTGTTTAACAAAAGATCTTACATCATACATAGATGACCAGTGTCTGTTTAATGCATGAAGCACCCTCAGCAAAGCTACCGTCTCCAGGGAAGAATCCTGGACTGTGACATTGGGAAGCTTGTCCGTGAGGAAATTCTGAAGAACAGGCTGGATCACTGGGCTGCCTGATCGCTGATCTTTAATGACAGAATATAAATATGTTCAGATACACGAAACAACAAATCACAGAGATGGATATTGTTAACCCCTTTGGAGACAGAGCCTTTTTTGGAGTTTCAATGCCAAAAAGATTTAGCCTTCAGAAGGGGATTCTCAGTTTATATACACACAAAAAAGCGTTTTAACATATAAATAAAATGGAATGAGCTGACAGAATGTTAACAAATCAAACTGAAATCTCAACATTTACTCCAATTTACTATTCTGATTTGCATAATTTATGCAAGCATTTTTTTGTCAAAGCTGGAAGCAAACATGACTCAGGAAGCACAAACATGACTAACCTAAAAAAAAAAAAATGTGTGCATTTTTTTTAATGAATGAAGCTTAAATAAATCCTAACATTGTGTTTTGGGAAGTAAGGCCCTTGCAGGTCCCTTCAGACACCTTCTGGTACACGGTTCTACACATTTTCCTGCCTCCAGCTATGTTTCGGATGCTATGATGCAACAGTTGTTTTCGCCATTGTTGGGCACAGGTAACCCCAAAAAATAATTGATGTAAAATTACCGAACACATCAAACTTTTTTGAAAGCCCTCAATGAACAGCCCACATGTGCAAGATATGCGAGAAGCAAATTGATTGGCTGGTACAAAAACCTACCAGCCAATCTCAAGGCTTGTATTACATAGGGGCGACCGATCAGCCCAGTTTCCTTTTGGCATATTTTGTGTCGGGCCGATATTTCGGCTGTGTCGTCTCCAGAGGGTTAATGGCAAATTCCCTGTGTGGCAGAACTAAGTATTACATGAAAGAAGCCACACACATAAAAAAGCAAATTATCAAATTCATGCCAACTCCTTAAATCTAGATAATTCTACACCAATTGGCAATAAACTGATGCTCAACAAGCTGAACAGTGCGGAAGCACAAACAGTTCATGGTCTGAAGAGAAAAGTGCAATGGGGAGTGACCAGAAGATCTGGTCAACACTCAGAGAAAAGCAAAATGGGCATAGTCAGACTGTGCTTGTACCATCAGAACTGGAACTCTACAATGGATGTTGAAGATGGGTGACAGACAGGAATGTCCCAAAAACTGTGATGATGGTATTTAACTCCAACTATCTGGGGGAGGGGGAGCTAGGTAAGTAAGTTCATGCACCCGCACCCCCCACAATCCACTCAACAAAGTGCATGCACAGGCATATGCAACTGCACACGTGAAAAATTCCTTTATGGCTATCAAAGTACTCAAAGTCTTGTCCATAACATATCTGGCTGGGTTGCCAATTTTCTTGTGTCTCTTTCGTAAAAAATTCTGAAAACTGGAATGTCTTCTTCTTGTTCCCCTGCTGCAAATTCCTGGCTGTTTGCCCACTTCTGGATTTTGGTCTTGTTTCAGAACCTGAGTTCTACATGCATACTGATTTCACAGATCAGGTTTATTTGTGTGCAGACTACTGCTTGGTCGCTTTTCACTCCGACCTCGAAGGAAACATCCCTAATTAGTCATGTGTTGTGGAATGCTTGTTTGGGGGTGGAGGGAATGCAGTGGGTCTATTCCCCCCCCCTCCCCTCCAATGGGGCCCTGGGAATCCACATGGGAATGAGCAGAATCCATTTTTATGAGAGTGAAAGGATTCCAGAGATGTATTGGCTGAAAATAAAATAATCTTGTCCCTGCTGGAAACTGAAATGGCATCAATCTAGGCAGGCAAAAGTATTACCCACTACACTTTAGCAGTTCCACAAGATGTTACATAGCACAGATAAAAACATTCTCTGTGTAGGTGGTTCTAAGGATCGATTTTGGGGGCAGGGGAGCCACACACCCCCCCCCCCCCCCCCACAAGTATGTAATAAAAGATTAATTAGGGAAGTTTCCTTCTATGTCAGAGTACATCTGCCTGAGAGGCAAAGAACCAACAGCCTGCATATAAATACGTCAGATCTGTAAAATAGATGTGCAAACAAAGCTCAAGTTCTGGAACAAGACCAACTTTCAGAAATGCACAAGCAACCAGAACTTTCAGCTGAAGTTTAGTCGGTGAATATGAAGACGAAGATTAAGAAGGAGAGGAGGAGGAGGAGAAGGAGAAAGAGGAAAAGGAAGAAGAGGAGGAGCAGAAGGAAGAAAAAGATGCTCTCATGTGAACCAACCTTTCTTTTTAGATGATTTTGATCCCTTGGACTCAGCCTTAGTTTTCTTAGGGCTGGTTGCCGTATTCTCCTCCTGTTCTACTGCAGGTCGATACCTTCCAATGATAAATGATCACAATCAGAACATTTTATAATTACATACAAGTTAAATGCATTTAAAAACAAATTTCTAGGGAAACTGATGAAAATTAAATGGGATAAGTTTGAAAACGATGAAGGAAGAAAAATGCCACAAGAACATGGTGATAAATGCATGGCATGATTTTAAGAAAGGAAAATAAATCAGAGAAGGGTCTGGGCAACTGCTAGCATCAAGTTATCAAAGAAACGGGAATATTTGAAGGAATATTCAGAGATGAACAAACTCAAAGAAACAAATTTTATTTTCAAAGGGTTAAGAATTAGGTACACAGGCTTCTCTAACATCGTGCCCTTCTAATCTCCCTCCTTTTATACACAGTGATTAGTGATTACAAAGGATTATCATCACAGCACTCAAGACAGATCCATAGGTGCTTCGATCTCCTCCTCAAAAGCTCCACAAGTGTAAAACGACTGATGTAGCCTCTTCTGTGTTGGTTAATGAAACGTCTTGTCCTCTTAGTGAACTGTTCATTTCTTGCAGCTCCAGGTTGCACCCCCAAGTCTAGACAGGGATATGGAGTCATGTCCTTTGGCATGCTTCTCGGTACGGTAAGTGCAGTGCATGGCACTGATAATATTTTCATACAAACTTTCATTCATACATCTGTAAACAAGTAATATTAAACATTATCAACAACAGCCAAATATTAAATACACACCCTGGAATGTGTTTGAACTACACCTACATTTCTAACCAAAGCAAACAATCCTAACTTATAAATCTACAGGAAATGTACACTATTTATGAACTACTTTTATCTTTCAAGGAGGCATGTAATCTGTGCTCAGATAAAGTAGAGGCAGGGGAACACATGGACTGAGGATGCGAGGACAATCAAAAGAAAGCCTATAATCAACAATGATGCATACTTAATAAGGAAAGAGCTGTACCAGATAGAACAGAATTGAATAAATGACTGATGAGCCCTGTGTGACATATGAATGGCACAACAAAAGTGATGATGATGATTGAATGTTAGTGTGACATGCACTGGTAACAAAGTACTCATACTCTTCTAATACCCAGTCAATCTTCAGCACATTTAATTTGCATAATACACTGTGTCCGTAAAGTCACGGTGCACTTTTAACCAGTCACAGGAAAGCAACAAAACAAGACAGAATGTTAAATCTGCATCAAATAAAAGGAAAACTCTCACAATTTTGTAGTATGATGTGTTACAAACTGACTCATTTGTATGCAGATGTTGGCTCCTTGCCTCTCAGGCAGATGCACTCCGACTTCGAAAGGGAAACTGCCAATTAGTCTACTCTTAAAACCTGCTTTTGGGTAGCCAGTAGGTATATTCTTTTTTTGTGTGTGTGTCTATAATAGGGCCCCACAACCCACACAGGGACCCTTCTATTTTGTGATTTTTTTGTGCTATTACTAGGCAATTCTATGTTCAGTAGTTTGCCACTGCTTTTTGGACTGCCAGCCCTCTATACCATTGTCAAGGTGGTCTCCTGCCCAGTTGGGACCAAACAGGGTATCTTAAAATTACCAAGTGTGTTCACAACACCTAATGTATTTTACTACTCGCCATCCTCATCTTGATGTGAGTTGGCTGATAACTCTACGGAGATAAAAGACCATTAAAAAAGACCATTTTCCACACTTTAAAGAACGTACTGGGCACATAATAGAAGTAAAGGCCCTTTTCCTTCAGACACATTAGGCATATAGTGCTAGACCTATAATTTATAAACCAATTGCACTTGAAGGATGATGATGGTCATCATGTCGGCAGTCTTTCTTAAGACTTTACCTTGAACCCATAAGGCTAGGCCAACCTGGCGTCAAGAGCTCCGCTCGGATTTGATCCACAATCTTCAGATCCGCAGAAAAGAAGAGAAGAAAATAAATAATTACATACTCCCCCGTGTGGGTTCCGGGGCCCCATTGTGGGGAAAACAAGAATAGACCCACTGCCTCCCCAAAAGCATGTCGTAAGAGTCGACTAATTGGGGAGCTTCCTTTGAAGTCGGAGTGCATCTGCGGAGAGGCAAGGAACCAACAGTCTGTATTCAAGAGAATGAGATCTGTAAAACTGATGAACACGCAACACTCAGGTTCTGGAGCAGGACTGCAGTTCAGTAGTGGACGAGCAACCAGAACCTTCCGCCAGAGTTTACAGCTGGTGAACGCGAAGAAGAAGAATAATTACATACTAATTAATTTTATTGATTTGTTTTAAGTGATAAGAAGCAAACATACCAGATTGTGTGAGTCTGCACCCAAATACTGGTGTTCCCAAAGGGAGTGTCTGTGTCTCCATCGCTGAAATCCCCCACCTCTGTGCCCCCGTGACACACGTACTGTTTGACGGCCTGGTACACAGTCATGTTGTAGGGCAGCACATGATCACCTATCAAAAACTCCAGTCTGTGTCTCATGGAGGTGGCAGATATCATGATTGATGCCATCTGTTCTTCCATCTCCTCATCTGAATTATCATCGTCACTGAGATCTTCATCAGCTCCTTCCTGTAGCAGATATATTGCCCAAAAATGTCATTACAAGGGAAAACAAAACAAAGGCAAAAAGAAATATTATAACTTAATCTTTGTTTTTCTTGTTTAATCTTTTTTTTTTTCTTGTTTATTCCCTTCCTTGACCTGAAAATCTGACTAGTGGCTTAAAGAGCCACTATTTGGACATTGAGCTGATAAGAGCAAATCACAGATGCCCTGTTTTCAACCTTTCTAAAACAGTTATACAGGGACACTCCGTAGGCACACAAAGTAACCTGCACTTCTGTGTGCACTCCTGTTATGTGATATAAGTAAAGCAAACAGATCAACCAAGTCAGTCACAGTTTAATAAATAATAGTCATAACGTAATTTTCTACATGTCACATCGTTAAGCTTCTAAGTGTGAAAGTACAGTGGATTAACAACCTGTACCAAGCCTTCATAGTCTCATGCAGCTCAGCCCATATTTTCCCATTATATTCAGCTGTCTTTAATTCTCTCCATGTCGTTGTATCTTCCTTTAGCTGTCTCTAATTCCCTTCACATGTTTTTATCTTCCTTTATTTCTTTTAGTCCTGTAGTTTCAGTGCAAGAACATTCATGGTGACCAATCCCCATCTCCAGCAGCAGGCCAAGATTACCAATTCTGATGGCACCAGTAACTGTCTGACTGTACATCGGTCTTGTCTTTTCCTTCAGTATCGGCCAGATCCCCTGGTAACACCTCGCAGCGCCATTCTTCTCAGACCTAATATAAATAGTTTTGTCGGTAATGCAAGAGCTGCACCCAAAAAAGATTGGGGCCTTATTACATAAAATTCCCAAAGACAGCAGTGGTACATAATCATCATCGTGTAGCAGGTCATTTGCAGAATGTCGCTCTTATCACGGTCTGCTTGAAAGAAACTCTGTCTCTCGCCAGCTCTCCCGCCTCATGTACTTACATACTCAAGGAGACGCTTGCCTCTATCAAGGAGCCACATATCCTATGCCTATCTTCCTGCTGGTCAGCCTCTGCCCCCACTCCTGATCCTAATCCAGCATGGCGCTTGACAACACCAAAATATTGAGGCTAGATACTGTTTACTTGCCAATCTTATTTGATGTTCAGATCTTGTAGGATGTCATTTCTTTTCTTTTCTTCCTTGTGCGCATCTTTGTGTTGGTCGGCAGTGGTACACTGTAGCCAATCTACATTGTGGAGACGGAACAGTTATTTCATTTGTAGAAGACCAAGGTTGACCTTGACTCCCAGGTTGACCCAGCCCTAAATGGGTACCAGGGAAAGTCCTTGGAAGTAAAGGCAGCCAGCATGATGTTGACCGACCACACCATTCACCGCGTGCTTGGCCTACAAAATATAGGTCTAGCCTTGTATGCCTAAAGGTGTGGAAAATGGTCCTCTCCTTTTACTAGAAGAACTGAGGATGAATAAAATATATGGGGGGAAAAAAAGAGCTGCAACTTACCCTTGTCTTACCGAAGCCTCTCACGAGCAAGTACTTCTCGATGGCCTGTACCAGAGCCAGGGGGTCAATCTTCACAGGGCCTCCCTTCCACTGTTTCAGTGTTGTGCAGGCTGGGTGTCGTTGTAACTGGCACTGTTGGTCAAAACAGAGAAATTTATTCATCCCTATGACTACAGGCAAAGAAACACGGTGAAGAAATGAGAGAAACGTCTGGGCAAAACTAGTATTACAAGTTACAAGATGGAGGAAATGGCAGTATACTGGACACATCCTAAAAGAAGAAAGCAGATAAATCACCAGACAGACAGAGATATGGGAAACAGAGGGACTAAGAAAACAAGGACGTCGAAATAAAACCCTAAAATGAACACTGATGACAGAAGTCGAAGGTGGTGGCCTAATTCCACCCATTCTCCTGTACAACACAAATTCTTTCCCACAGTTTAAACCCCAAGAACTAACACTTCCTATACCTCAATCTAACTAGCCCTGGACTAGTTGACCAGAGCCTCTTGTCCCTGATAACACCCAAATACTCTCCTCTCAGATAAATCTACCGGCCCTCAGGAATTAACTACAACTGGCCACTCCCATCGCTGGTTCTTAGCTAGGAACCAATCTCATCCTGACCTAATAAAACAATCGCCTGGGTAACTTTAGATTTGTGGCCATGTGACCTTTACCTGTCCTCTTCCTTTTAGTATACATTTTAATCCTCCACTAAATAAGACTACAACAGTGGCCTAATTTTGCCCACCACAAAGTAACTGCACAGGACTGAATGCAATGAAGGAATAGACATATAATGGCTGATTTAGTGATTTTAGAACCAACATCATAGCACACAGGGCATGCCCACAGGTGCTCCATCTCCTTCAGCAAACGTTTTATGGTGCAGATGCTAAGTGTTATCAGAGCAAACTTGTTATAAACTCCTTGTTCTCTTCCTCTCATACATCCCTCCTTCCCTGATCCAGTTCGTCATTCACACATTCCTAAACGTTTTATTTAATCTCATGTCGTGACTTCTATCAACATTAGTTCATAAATGGTCTTTAGAATATAATGACACAACAGAACAATCAATGAATACATGCTCAAACATGTTTTTATCAGACAATGTATGGTCTTAGGGTCAAAGTCATGACTAGCAATTGTCATCATGCAGCAGGTCCTTTGCACTACATCGCTCTCATCACAGTCTGCCTGAAAGAAACTCAAGTCTCCCACCTGATGCACTTTCCCCACCCCAGGTACCACTTATACCCTGTGCCTATCTTCCTGCTGGTCAGCCCCCGCCCCCTCTCTCCTGATCCCTTGCCTTCTGCTATTATTTTGTCCAATCCATCATGGTGCTTGACATCACCAAAATATTTTAGTTTCTGAGGCAAGATACTGTTTACTAGCCAATCTTCCTTGATCTTCAGGTCTTTTAGGTGTCATTATCTCTGTTCTTCTTTGTCCATGGTATTCTGAGAATCTTTCTACAGCATTTCAGCTCAAAAGCACAAATTTTCTTCCCTAAGGACCACGACTAGAAATCCTCACAGTAATTTACAGGACTAATGCAAAGTTTTAACCCTGAAAGAACGGGCTGGATCCTACCATGGCAGTGGGCAGAGGACATGAAGATTCCTAAGATGGAAGCCGCAGAGATATGGTTTTAAAGAAGAATTATGACAGCAATATAGACAGAAAGGAAATAATTTTAGTATGTAAAAGATGTAAAATCTTAATCTAAGAAACTAGCGACTACAGTTTCGACAATTTGCGGTCTTTTTTGGCAATTTCCGTTTCCATGGAAACTGTTCGAAACTTGTTTGGGAAATGTCAGCTGGGGTTTCGGGATGGGTCCTAATCTCTCATGAAATTTTGAGATTGGTGTGATTTTCACCAGCTATAAATTGCTGAAAACGGCAGACCGAACCCGATTAACGGCGCATGTCTACGACAGCCGGACGTCCTCTGTTTTTCTGTTACATCAGTTTGATTGAAAATAGCGGTAAGTATAATTTTTGTATTCAAGGTTGGCTTTAGACGTTAAAACATTACCAGACATGGTAATGCTAGTTATAATTGAATTCTCCGTCCAATTTTACATTTGTAAATACAATTTCTTTCCTATTTATGGCTATTTCGATTTACAGTGACATTTTTCAGGCAATCGCTATTATGTGGCTGTGTCTGAGAAAAATTGTCTGCCATCTTGTCCAATGAAAACAAAGCCAAAACGAAAGTGTGCAGTTTGGTTGCGCAGAGAAAACTTCTTGTTTCTGGGACGCAAGTTTTCGATAGCTGTTTTTACATCTTATCTCCACAAAAACCGACATATCTCAGCTCAGAAATGACATACAAGCCAAAATGAGGTACCGTTGTAAAGAGATTGTATACAGCTATCTAACTGTGCTGGTTTTATTGGTGTAGAGGGCATTTTAAAAATTTGACTAAAGTGTCTAAAGAAACTACCTACCTTAAGTTGATGTGTTGTAAAGAATTTGAGTATTTTCTCCTTATCATATCAGCTACCACCACATTTAACACGGAAAGAAAGCTATGTGAGATCTTTACCTAAGCTATTACCTACCTTAAGCTGATGTGTTGTAAAGAATTTGAGGGCATTTCCTCCTCGGCTGCTCCCCCCACTACTGCCAGGAAGATCATGCACCTTCACTTGAAACTGTTGAAAGCATAAGGTATGGAATGTTCTTTTAAAGTTAAAAAGAAAATAAACAAATAACTCATCATCATCATGTAGCAGGGCCTTTGAAGAACGTCGCTCTCATCACGGTCGGCCTGAGAAAAAAACCAGTCTCTTGCCAGCTCTCTCGCATCAGGTACTTTCATTTTCAGGGAGTCACTTATATCTTGTGCACATCTTCATATTGGTCAGCTCCTGCCCCTCCTTGCTGGTACCATGCCTTCATTTATTTCGCATTCATTTGCTCACTGGAACCTTTCCATCTTTCCATACGATAGCGTTATATTGTGCTTAAGAGGAGGCATGGGGACACAACCCATGGTGATGGCAAGTGTGATTCATACGAGCTGCCCGCATTAAGAAAAGTCTTCTGCAACTGACCCAAGGATTTCAGGACCTTTCCATAGCACAAAGCCTTGGTAGTTTTGCAGAGACCATGTGTTGCCCATGTATGATGATCCCTCCCTCAACCTGCTTTGTTTACTTTTAAGGAAACATAACACCAATATATTTGGAACAAAGCACGCTGCAGCAGTTGCTGGATCAGAAGAGTAGTACTCTGTCCGCGTGTCGGAGCTTTCCTATTAGACCAGCTACTATCCCAGGCTAAAGGTCTGGTCTGCCCTACCATAAACATGAAATTTTCAGGTTGCATTTCCACTGCCTAGTAAACATTCCACGTAACGCTGAATTAACCCACATGTGATGCTGGGTGAAATGACCTAAGAGTATCCATAGAGGGTGAATGCGGTCAGTGACTCAGGACTTGACCACCTGAATGTTAACCAGAGCTGACCATGGCCCAAGTTTATCTCCAGGTAATGGTGCTTGTAATAGACAGCCTCACAGCAACAGAGAAGCTAGGGAATGAACAAGGAACAGGAAATTCTGTGCCAGAAAATAATATTTTTTTTTTCTGGCTTACATCTTACATGACAGCATCAGCGCAGTCTGACAAAGAGACTAGGGACTGAACAGGGAACAGCAAGCTCTGTGTGTGTAATAAGGCAAATTTAGAGATTACCACTAAGGTTTAGGAAAACCCCATAATTTACAGGTACATCAGACTCGGTAATATTCGGCTTAATGGAACCCACAGGGGCATAGGAATAAAGGAAGGCCAAAAAAACATTGGAGAAGAGAGCTGGAGAATGAAGTTAAAAAGATGGGGATGACATGGGGAGCTCCATGCAATGGCGAAGGATAGAACGACTTTGCGTGAGTTGGTTGAGGGCCTATGCTCCATTGGGGGATAGGAAGGCAGAAGAAGAAGAATGTTGCAGAAGGGTAGGCTGGATAACAATGTGCCAACAAATACTGAGGTCGGTTTGCGACGTCTTATAAAGGATATGCAGCTAATAAAATAATTGGGTCTGCGTTAGTGCAGTCGATAAGAGATTCGCTTTCAAATCCAGCAGTGACTAGCAGAAGCCCACAGCCGGTGTTCTAAAACGGGCGGTTCCCGGGGTTTACCCAGCCTCTATGTAATGGGTACCAGAGTTAGCACTCTAGGGTAAATGGAGGAACGTCGCTGTAGCTTTAGAGTTGCGTGCGGACAGCGACACAGGCGGACAGTTTCTTATCAGCTTTCCATACTGGGGCAGAGCACTTATGGTTTATAACCGTGTGCAATGACGCTGGTTCACATCTCCCAACTTTACCTTTATCAATAATAATCAGTTCTCGTTATGCCTAGTGGCACATGAGGCTTCAGAGAGGACTTTCCATGCTTTCCTGTCCTGCGTAATCTTCAGTGCAGTTTTCTATGTCAAAGATGCCACACTCACGTCACTCTCCATCGTTCGTCTCCATGTTGTTTTTGGGTGCCCCTGTTTTCTCTTTCCCTCTGGTGTCCATGTGAGAGCTGTTTTGGCGGGTATATCAGGATTCATTCTCATAACGTGGCCAAGCCATTTCCATCTTCTCTTGGTTATCATACTGACTAAAGTTTCTTTACCTTTACCTTTTTTACTAATGAAATGTTCACAAAACCTGTAGACTGCAATAAATAAATAAATAATAGAAAAACTAGCAGACCTGCTCCAACTGGTGCAGACAAGCCATGAGTTTTGACACAAGGAAGGAGAGAGCAGGGCCATTCTGGGTGCTTGGTGGTTCAGTCATATAAGTCACACTTGGTGCCTGCGTAATTCAAACACAACATGTTAAGAGAAAATTATCAATCTAGAGAATTACATAATCTTCTTCTGCTTCCAGCATTCAATGGATGTTAACTCTGGCAGAAGGTTCTGGCTGGCTGTCCAGTTCTGGACATTTTGTCTTGTTCTAACATTCATTTTACAGATCTGTTTTACTTTGTGCTGCTAATTCTTCTACTTTGCTTCACAGACTGTAAACTCTAATGAGAAGTACTGGTTGTTCATCCCCTTCTAGAACTGTGGTCTTGTTCCAGAACTTGAGTTTTGAATGCACATCCATCTGACAGATCTGGCTTATTTGTTTGTATGCAGACTGTTGGTTCCTTGCCTCTCAAGCAGATGCACTCAGGCTTTTAGGAAATCCCCTAATTAGTCAACTCTTGTGACATGCTTATTAGGGAGGCATTCTGTCTTTTTTTTTTTAGGTCGCTTCACAATTGGGGCCCTGGACCCACATGAGAAATGTGTATGCACTGTTGGTTCCTTGTGGCTCTGTGGCAGATGCACTCCAACTTCAAAGGATACACCCATAATTACAGTCATCTCTTACAACATGCTACATGCTTAGAGGAGAGGCTGTGAGTCTATCTTCCTTACCCACCCAGCCCCAAAAACCACACACACACACAATGGGTTTCCAGAATCCATCACATAAAATCATTGGAAAAGCTGACCTAAGCTGAGTCAATAACCCATGTTAGGACTAGGGACACTACCATAAGCCCTCCCTCCCCAACTTTATCAGCTAGCATAGATGTTAGAAATATGCCTACGGTACTAGTAGCTGTTTGATTTAATGTCTGTGTTGCCCTGTTTGATTATATATATATATATATATATATATATATATATATATATATATAATATATATATAGATATATATATATATAAATATATTATATATATATATATATATATATATCTGTATATATATATATAGTATCTATATATATATATATATATATCAATATAATATATATATATTATATATATCATATATATATATATCTCAGTATATATATATATAGATATATATATATTATATATATCCTCTAGCCTATCCTTTGAGTGTTGTGAAAAGACTTCAAACCAAACACAAAAATTAGAACCTGTCAACTTTAGATTATCACAAACACAAACAACAAGTGATCACTGTGAATGGACAGCCTTAATCTCCACATTACATAAATCTACAAGAATACACAGAATCACTTAGCTGACATATTTCCAATAGAAAATCATATTGGTGTATGGACAGTATCATAAAAAGTGAACTTGTGTATTTCTATTTTACTTGTGGCAGTGTTATGTAATGTGCAGATGAAGGCTCTCGAACCTCAACATTCACTTGTCGTTTGTATTTGTGATATTCTGAAGCTGAAGAGTTCCACTTTTCATTTGGTTTGACAAACTGTTAAGATATTTTTACAGCTTCTTTGCAGTTCACTAATTTCACCTCTCCCGTAAGTCTCGCCCTTCCAGAACTGCTACTGTCTGTCTGTGCCCCAAAAAATGGTTTGTACGGTATTCGTATAACTGTTTCTATTTATTATATTTTTTCACCAATTTATTTGTAAGTTGTTCCTTGTAGTTTGCGTTCACCGGCTGTAAACCCCGATGGGAAAGGTCTGGTTGTTGTTCGTCCATTTCTGGACTTTGGCTTTGTTCCAGGACCTGAGTTTTACATGTGCAACCGTTTTACAGATCTTGCTTATTTGTATGCAGACTCTTGGTTTCTTGCCTCACAGGCAGATGCACTCCGGCTAAATGAACACCCCCCCCGCCCCCCCCGCCCCCCCCCCCCCCCCCCCCCGGGACCCTGGAACCTACACAGGGAGTCTTCGAGTGATTTTGTGTGTTCTAGTTTGTACTTGTGGTGGTACTGATTTATGTCATGTGCTGATAAAGGTTCTTTAGCTGCAACGTTCTCTTGTCGTTTGTGTTTGTGATATTGTGCTTTTTAAGATGCCCAACTACTAGAATGAATGTCCTCTGAGTGCTGAGTGTTAGCAAGGTTTCCCTGGGCACTCCCCACTCCCGGCTGCATCATTCTTTCATGGCCAAAAGGATCACTATATACTAGTGACGCTCCACTTGCTCCTAAAGAACTTGTCGTGCAAGCATGCGTCTACATGTGTAGTGTCACAAGGAAATGTAATTTACATCTGCATTTTTGTCTGTAAATGTAATTTCTACTGGAAAGTACAGACTGCTGGTTTCTTGCCTCCTAGGCAGATGCACTCTGATGTAGAAGAGAACAATCCCTCAATTAGTCACTTCTTATAACATTATTACTCTGGGGGCAGTGGGTCTATCCCCCCCCCCCCAACCAAAGACCCCAAAATCAACGTCAGGAAACCCTCCAGTAGTGTTATCTTCTCACGTGGCCTAAATATTCTGCCTGTCTCCCACAAATCAGGTTTACCAAACAGACACATATGTTCACTGGACTGTCAAAGTACTAATTGCCCTGTAGTTTGACCCATTTGTCAAGTCCCCTTGTAACCTCCCCCTCACCCAAAACACTCAGTTACCCTTATAGCCCTGCTGGTCTTGTCTACACACAACCCATCTGACCAGTAATTAAGCTGTCTGCTGTTATGAGTCAAAGTCTAGTCATCGTTTGTCTTATTCTCCCAGTGTGTGGTTAAGTTGACTCATGACAGTGGGTCTATTCTTATTCTCCCCCCCCCCCCCCAACCCCCCACAACTGGGGCAATACAACAATACAAAACTTAAACACACCTGCAATGAGAGATTTCTGCTTGCTGTACAAAGTCGTTTGAGAATATCCAATGCTGGGTGAGATTCTCCATGAATGTCAACTGAGAAATACTTTTCCATGAACGTTTTACCTGTAGAACATAACATATAGATCATTAATCAATCAGGTGCCATCCCCACCATGAAGGCTGGCTGCACTGGGTCGCCATCATGCTCATGTTAATTCATGCCCTGGATGCACACTCACAGATTGATGTTTCGCCAATGCTCTCACTCGTATCACTGCCTGCCTCTTGCTTGTCTGCCTTAAACATTTCACTCCAATACTATGAGAGACTCTTTCAAGAATCTATATATAAGAGTCTCTTTTAATATAGCCAACATTTTTCACCAGTCTTCCAATTTTATTTTATTTTTAAATTTCCTTCAGCAAAATCTCTTTTCATTTCTATTTTCTGCAGGGCCTATGTAGATCATCAGTCATATGTAACCAATGTTTAAGTAATTAGGATGAAACTTCTGTAAAAACACCATTCAGCAGAGAACAAACACCACTCAGTTCAAAACAACTAACACCACTCAGTATAGAACAATCAAAACCAATCAGTGCAAACAACAGAATAAAAAATCACCACTCAGTACAGAACAAACACCATCCAGTATAGAATAAACACTACTCAGTAAAGAACAATTAATAACACTCTTTACAGAAAAAAAAACATTACTCAGTATAAAACAAACACCACTCAGTAATGAGTTTAAAAAACACACCACTCAGTATAGAAAAACAAACACTACTCTGTAATGAACAACAAACACCACTGAGTGCAGAACACAAACACCACTGAGTGCAGAACAACAAACACCACTGAGTGCAGAACAACAAACACCACTGAGTGCAGAACAACAAACACCACTGAGTGCAGAACAACAAACACCACTAAGTACAGAACAACAAACACCACTGAGTGCAGAACAACAAACACCACTGAGTGCAGAACAACAAACACCACTGAGTGCAGAACAACAAACACCACTGAGTGCAGAACAACAAACACCACTGAGTGCAGAACAACAAACACCACTGAGTGCAGATCAACAAACACCATTCAGTGCAGAACAACAAACACCACTGAGTGCAGAACAACAAACACCACTAAGTGCAAAACAACAAACACCACTGAGTGCAGAACAACAAACACCACTCAGTGCAGATCAACAAACACCACTGAGTGCAGAACAACAAACACCACTAAGTGCAAAACAACAAACACCACTGAGTGCAGAACAAGAAACACCACTCAGTGCAGAACAACAAACACCACTGAGTGCAGAACAACAAACACCACTGAGTGCAAAACAATAAACACCACACAGTGCAGAACAACTAATACCACATAGTATAGAACAACAACACCATTCAGTTTAAAAAAAAAAAACTCAGTAAAGAAAAACAAATACAATTCAGTGCAGAACAACAAACACCACTCAGTATAGAACAACAAACACCACTCAGTAAAGAACAACAAACACCACTCAGCATAGAACAACAAACACCACTGAGTGCAGAACAACAAACACCACTGAGTGCAGAACAACAAACACCACTGAGTGCAGAACAACAAACACCACTGAGTGCAGAACAACAAACACCACTGAGTGCAGAACAACTAACACCACTGAGTGGAGAACAACAAACACCACTGAGTGGAGAACAACAAACACCACTCAGTATAGAACAACAAACACCACTCAGTATAGAACAACAAACACCACTCAGTATAGAACAACAAACACCACTCAGTATAGAACAACAAACACCACTCAGTATAGAACATCAAAAACACCACTCAGTATAGAACAACAAACACCACTCAGTATAGAACAACAAACACCACTCAGTATAGAACAACAAACACCACTCAGTAAAGAACAACAAACACCACTCAGTATAGAACAATAAACACCACTCAGTGCAGAACAACAAACAGCACTCATTAAAGAAAAACAAACACCACTCAGTACAGAACAACAAACACCACTGAGTGCAGAACAACAAACAGCACTCAGTATAGAAAAACAAACACCACTCAGTGCAGAACAACAAACAGCACTCAGTATAGAAAAACAAACACTACTCCGTACAGAACAAACCCCACAAAGTATAGAATAACTAACACCAATCAGTAGTACAAACACCACTCAGTATTTAAAAAAACTAACACCACTGAATACAGAACAAACACTAATCAGTATAGAATAACTAACATCGCTCAGCACAGAACAAGAAACATCAATCAGTACAGAACAACAAACACACTCAGTTTAGAGCAAACACCACTCAGTATAGAACAACTAACACCACTCAGTATAAAACAACAAAAACCATTCAGTACAGAACAAACACCACTGAGTATAGAACAACAAACATCACTCAGTATAGAAAACTAGCACCACACAGTATAGAACAAATACCCCTGAGTATAAAACAACAAACATCACTCAGTATAGAAAACTAGCACCACACAGTATAGAACAAATACCACTCAGTATAGAAAACTAGCACCACACAGTATAGAACAAACATCACTCAGTATAGAAAACTAGCACCACACAGTATAGAACAAATACCACTGAGTATAGAACAAACAACAAACATCACTCAGTATAGAAAACTAGCACCACACAGTATAGAACAAATACCCCTGAGTATAGAACAACAAACATCACTCAGTATAGAAAACTAGCACCACACAGTATAGAACAAATACCCCTGAGTATAAAACAACAAACATCACTCAGTATAGAAAACTAGCACCACACAGTATAAAACAAATACCACTCAGTATAGAAAACTAGCACCACACAGTATAGAACAAACATCACTCAGTATAGAAAACTAGCACCACACAGTATAGAACAAATACCCCTGAGTATAAAACAACAAACATCACTCAGTATAGAAAACTAGCACCACACAGTATAGAACAAATACCCCTGAGTATAAAACAACAAACATCACTCAGTATAGAAAACTAGCACCACACAGTATAGAACAAATACCACTCAGTATAGAAAACTAGCACCACACAGTATAGAACAAACATCACTCAGTATAGAAAACTAGCACCACACAGTATAGAACAAATACCACTGAGTATAGAACAAACAACAAACATCACTCAGTATAGAAAACTAGCACCACACAGTATAGAACAAATACCCCTGAGTATAGAACAACAAACATCACTCAGTATAGAAAACTAGCACCACACAGTATAGAACAAACACCACTGAGTATAGAACAAACAACAAACATCACTCAGTATAGAAAACTAGCACCACACAGTATAGAACAAATACCCCTGAGTATAAAACAACAAACATCACTCAGTATAGAAAACTAGCACCACACAGTATAGAACAAATACCACTCAGTATAGAAAACTAGCACCACACAGTATAGAACAAATACCACTCAGTATAGAAAACTAGCACCACACAGTATAGAACAAACATCACTCAGTATAGAAAACTAGCACCACACAGTATAGAACAAATACCACTGAGTATAGAACAAACAACAAACATCACTCAGTATAGAAAACTAGCACCACACAGTATGGAACAAACATCACTCAGTATAGAAAACTAGCACCACACAGTATAGAACAAATACCACTGAGTATAGAACAAACAACAAACATCACTCAGTATAGAAAACTAGCACCACACAGTATAGAACAAATACCACTCAGTATAGAAAACTAGCACCACACAGTATAGAACAAATACCACTCAGTATAGAACAAACAACAAACATCACTCAGTATAGAAAACTAGCACCACACAGTATAGAACAAATACCACTGAGTATAGAAAACTAGCACCACACAGTATAGAACAAATACCACTGAGTATAGAACAAACAACAAACATCACTCAGTATAGAAAACTAGCACCACACAGTATAGAACAAATACCCCTGAGTATAGAAAACTAGCACCACACAGTATAGAACAAATACCACTGAGTATAGAACAAACAACAAACATCACTCAGTATAGAAAACTAGCACCACACAGTATAGAACAAATACCACTGAGTATAGAACAACAAAAACCACTCAGTGCAGAACAGAACAATAAACACCACTGAGTATAGAACAACAAACATCACTCAGTATAGAAAACTAGCACCACACAGTATAGAACAAATACCCCTCAGTATAGAAAACTAGCACCACACAGTATAGAACAAATACCACTGAGTATAGAACAAACAACAAACACCACTCAGTAAAGAAAACTAGCACCACACAGTATAGAACAAATACCCCTGAGTATAAAACAACAAACATCACTCAGTATAGAAAACTAGCACCACACAGTATAGAACAAATACCCCTCAGTATAGAAAACTAGCACCACACAGTATAGAACAAATACCACTGAGTATAGAACAAACAACAAACACCACTCAGTAAAGAAAACTAGCACCACACAGTATAGAACAAATACCACTGAGTATAGAACAACAAAAACCACTCAGTGCAGAACAGAACAATAAACACCACTGAGTATAGAACAATTAATACCACGCAGTATAGAACAAAAACCACCATTCAGTATAGATCAATAAACACCACTCAGTATAGAACTGACACCATTCAGTACAGGACAACAAACACCACTGAGTATAGAACAAAAAATTATGTACATACATTGTTCTTTGATCCAAGCTCTGACTTTCTCCTTGTTGACAATCATAGGTGGCGGTATCTGTTTGTGAGACAGAATATCCTGAGGAAAAACATATTTCTGCTTGGATATAAGGCAACTAGATTTCTTTATTTACTTATGAATGATTACAAATTTGTACAATATGACAATGCTCTCTTCTTCTTCTTTTCTTCTTTTATTTGCCTGAAATAAATTATTGGTATCAACAATTTTGTCTTTCGTATATATTCCAGTAGTTTTTTTTAGTTTATTCAGAGGTCTGTAGAGTTTATGTTCCACTGCTGTTCTTCCTGGCTGAAAGGTTGCCCTAAATATGTCAGAATTAGTACAGTCCTGAAGTATGTGTGCTGTTGTCTGGGGCAACTTTCCACATGGCAGATGCACCTATCTGAAATTTGTGTGTACCTGTGTGGCTGCGTAAGCTGTTCTGAGGCATAGGGTGACTTCATCTGACCTGTCCATAATAGAGAAGTGGTCTACTGGGGCTGGTGGTTTTATGATCGATATAACTATCCTTTTATTTAGGTGGTTGTAACTGGTACAACCAGCTGCTCTTATGTCACACCTTTCCCTGCCAGTTGATCAGCTCTCTCATTTCCAGGCACTCCATAATGGGACAGTATCCACTATACTGTGATACTACGCTGATAGCCGAGTTGTCTCTCTCTGTCTCTCTCTCTCACACATACACACACTCCCCTTCTTCAAGTTCTCAGTGAGTGTTGGTGTAGTCTTTTTTTTTTTAACTCTGTCCTGTCCAGCTGTTACTTTAGCACTGTTTATCCTAAAGTTTTAGTATATTAGAATAACGATCTTAAGTCTTAAGGAGCTTAACCAATACAACTGTAGGACAGAAACAGTTTAAGTAACAGCCAGAACAGGGTGTATTATTGTCATATTGAAACTGAAAATAAGGTTTTTGTAATGTCTATCATATATTCTTGTTCTTAGCTGTAACTTTAGTGTTGTCCCAGAATATCAATTCTACGTGCACACCCTTTTTAAAGATCTGGCTTATTTGTATGTCGGCTCTTTGGCTAAGTCGATGCGAACGCTTTGTAATGCCGGGATGCCAGGTTGTATGGAGACCGTTGGTTCCTCGCCTCTCAGACAGACACACGACAACTTTGAAGGACACATCCATAATGAGCCTACTTTTATAACATGCTTATTAGGGGGCAGTGGGTCTATCTCACCCCCCCCCCCCCTTTCAAATGAAACCCCAGAAAACACATAGGGGAAACAACAAGATACAACAACTGACACATTTCAGAAGATACCTTCACAGATGGCTGCCTGTCAGCTGAGTTCCCAACTCTTCCCCAGGAACGTGGGTTCAGGTTTGTCAAGAATGGAATTTTAGAACTTGAAGAACTTGATCGTGCATCTTTGCCTGGTGAAATGAAGAGAAAAAAGAGAGAGAAGATTGTTAATGTTCATCATTAAAGTAAATTAAAGTAAAGGACTCTCTTCCACGCCACCAGGCATATGGCGCTAGAACTATACTTTCACAGACCTTCTCCAGGCATATGGCGCTAGAACTATACTTTTACAGACCTTCTCCAGGCATATGGCGCTAGAACTATACTTTTACAGACCTTCTCCAGGCATATGGCGCTAGAACTATACTTTTACAGACCTTCTCCAGGCATATGGCGCTAGAACTATACTTTTACAGACCTTCTCCAAGCATACTGGGCTGGAACTATACTTTTACAGACATTCTCCAGGCATATGGCGCTAGAACTATACTTTTACAGACCTTCTCCAGGCATACTGGGCTGGAACTATACTTTTACAGACATTCTCCAGGCATACTGGGCTGGAACTATACTTTTACAGACATTCTCCAGGCATACTGGGCTGGAACTATACTTTTACAGACCTATCTGCACTTGGTGGGTGTGATGTGGTCAGCATCACGCCAGTGTTCATCATTAGTTAGCGGAGAAATGAAACTCAAAACTTACCATTATTTAGTGGATTATAAGAAAAAGCCAGAAAAGGCTAGAAGAAATCTTTTTGTCAGATAATAAGTCATAACATCCACCTCATTATTTTCACCAGACAGACACCTTACAATTCTGTCCCTATTCCCATTCCACATAATGTCACAAGATAAACAATTAACCTGCGGTTTCTAGCGATATCTCAGGCTGTCACAATCAGCATTTGTGGCTAAGGGGTCAAAAATATTTGTAATTCACAGAATTATGAGAAGGCATCAGATTAAAACCTGAAAAGTGTGACAGAAATTACAATAACCATACTGTTGTCTTGCAAGCTGTTGGTATTTTGGTTAAGGATGTCAAGAGTAGTAAGTAGTAACATCACGATGCAGAATAACACAATGACAAAAAAAATTAGTTTAAAAATGGCCCTCTCACTTCTGACACTCACCAAAGAGGAGCAGCATTCTGTTATCCGTTTATACCCCCACTCATACCTAGTTCAATTCAACTGCAGACCACTGATTGCAACAATGGTAGGCAGTGTGTGTCGACCACTTAGCAAGCAATGGCAAACTACTGAATGTGAAACTAAAAAAAAATGGCAAACTACTGAATGTAAAACTAAACTACCTAGTAAAACCATAAAAAGCCAACAAATTCTGAGGCTTGTTTGCGACATCCTGTAAAGAATACACAGGCTGCAACAAACTTTACCTGAGGACTTTCCTCTGTTCGAGCTTCTTCCGAGCAGTAAGCCCACACCTTTAGGAGACGGCTCTGAAGTGGGTGCATCTTCTGATTTGCTTCCCTTTTTTGTGGGACCCCTCCTTGGTGGTCGTTTTCGTTTCAGCACATCACTGAGTTTCCTGGGGGGGGGAGGAAAAAAATCCAGCTGTGTTAACTTTCTGATTTCTACAAAATAATTCCTTTGGTGCAGCAAGACTCCTTAATCACAATATTCCAACCCATAGAGGTGGATCTATATTAGTCTTCTGATGTTTTTTATCTTAAAAATTAACACCTTTGCTGCCTGGGGTGAGCTTGAGAATTTTTACGCTGCATGGCTGTACAGTCACCAGGAACAGTACAGGTAAGAATGTTTATTATCGAAAAAATGTCCATTGCTTTACCAAGGATTTGAACTCAGGTCTTTCCGTACAAGAGGCTATTATTCCAGCCACTCACCCAGTCGCTCTTCCAAATGTCTTTGATCCACAATCACTATCAATCATCTTTGTATAACTTCTCTACTCCTGGGATGTCTCGTGGTTTCAGAGCAGGAAGAGATCTCTGGAACGGGCCCTTCTGTTTGCTTCACGTGAAGTGACACTCTGTGACACTGATATCACAAAACACAAAATCAGGGCATCACCTGCTTCTATAAAGATGCCTCCTGCTCTCAGGCTAGAAAGGTAATTATTAAATCAACAAACAAGAAAAACAATCTGAACTGCTCAGTTGGCAGGATCACAACTATGAGAGTTAATGAAAGTTATGGGTAGAATCTTTCCTCAAACAAAAAGAAAGGTTCTTTTTTTTCTACTGCTTTTTAGCTCCTAATGGAGCATAGGTCCTTAACACTCACCCAGTCGTCCTATCCTTTGACACTACATGCAGCTTCCCCCAAGACTCCACAACGTTCAGTTCACTGACTCATTCTTTTCTACCTTTGTATTTTGGTCTGCACTTTTTTTTTGACCTTGTGGGCTCCATTGCACAGAAATTCTAGTTAATTCTTTATTCAGCTTGTCTATGGTTGGTTGGTAGCCAATCCGAAACCAAGCCCTACTCTTGGTCACCTCTTATGACATGCCAGGTAGGGCGCAATGTTACCGATCCATTGCTTCCACTAAGGCAGTGGTTTTCAACCTGGGGGTGGGGGTGGGGAGGGGGTGTGGCTGCATTATGAACTTTGGGGGTCGGAGGAGGGGTATGTGGGGAGGGAAGGGGGTTGCACTATGAACTTTGGGAGGATGGGGGGTGTCACACACTTTGAAACTTAGTGCATTTGTACCTGCAATAATCTGTTATACCAACATATTTTTTTTTTCAGTTTAATTATAAACTTAAACATAAATTTTTTTTTAAATGTGCAACTATATTAAAAATGAAAAAAGCCAAAGCATTATGTTACTGCACATTGATTTCTGTACGGTAAAAGGTGGGGTAAGGGGAGGGGGGGGGGGGGAGGTCGTCTTGCTATATATTCAATGCGGTCACCTGAAAAAAGGTTGAAAACACCAGGTGTCAATCTGCTAAACTATAAAATATGAACTGGGGGGTTTCCGTGTCAAAGTGGTCAGCCATTTCCCTCACGTTCTGAAGGTTGTGGGTTCGATTTACAGCTGCACTGTTCAGTTCACAAGTGCAATTTTACAAAGATCCCTGCACGACGCTCTTGGTAAGCAGCTAGCTGTTCTGCGGAGAGAGACTGAGCTATATTGGATAAAACCCAGTGCAATAAAGTCGATCCACTCAACTTTTAACTTAAAAAAAAATGGAAAGAACAAGAGAAAGCAGACTAATATTTGAGAAATGACAAAGCCATTCTTACATGTGTAAAGAAGCACAAAGACAGATTGTAAACAATCCGATAAACCAACCATAAGCTTGTTACTCTGTTCGTAAAGTAGTTAACTGATCTAATTTGCTACCGCAGTGACAATATAACACCAAATCACCATATTGTCTTGTCCCTATCGAGTCCGATGAAGTGCAGCAGGGAAAGTACGGGGCCTGGCTACATGACCCAGGACGGCCCACCTTTCGAGATTGTTTAGGGAAGAGCCGAAACAATTTTAGACGAAGAATCTCTCCTGATGACCAGTGCACCCCTGCTGTGCATGCGCCCGTGTTTTCTTCTTCTTACTATTTACAGATTGCATATAATATCGATCAACTATTCTACATTACTAAAATAAAATATAACAACTGAAAAGAAAGCACATGTGAGAGGAGACAAAAACCACACTTACATGTGAGTAGAAGCACAAGGCTCCTCAATCTGTGGTGAGGCTCCCCCAGCAAACATATCGTCACCTTCGCCAACTTCTGGAACATCAATTCTGGGTACTGAAAAGGACAATGAGCCGCCGGTGTCTGAGACAGATCCTAAGACTGGAGATGACCCTGGAGAATGGCCCGATTTTGTGGGAGATGGTGGAAGGGCCTCTGTTGTGGCCAATTTCTGGATCTGGTGCATGACACCTGTGTGGGAGGGAAAAAACATATGTCCTGGCGATATCGCTGTAAATTCTAGTGAATCAAAAGGGGAGGGAGAGAGGGGGAAGACAGAGAGAGGGGGGGGAAAGAAGGAAGAGAGGAGAGAGAGAGAGAGAGAGAGAGAGAGAGAGAGAGAGAGAGAGAGAGAGAGAGAGAGAGAGAGAGAGAGAGAGACAGACAGAGAGAGAGAGAGAGAGAGAGAGAGAGAGAGAGACGAGAGAGAGAGAGAGAGAGAGAGAGAGAGAGAGAGAGAGAGAGAGAGAGAGAGAGACAGAGAGAGAGAGAGAGAGAGAGAGAGAGAGAGAGAGAGAGAGAGAGAGAGAGGGGGGGGGGGGGAATTAATTGAAATGAATCTAGAAGGTGATCTAAATTTTGAAGCAAGCATAGGATGACTTGATTAGTTTTATCACAGTATTCGACAACCAGACATTAGTGGAGAAGAACCTAATGCAAAATAGAGCAGTCACCGCTGAATTCAAGCAACAAATACATTTTGAAAAATCTAAACTGAACAATGGTGAAACTTCCAGTGTGGCTACCATTGTCCTCTCTGTGTGAGTTCTAGGTTCCTGTCATAGAGAAAACAATAGATCCACTGCCTACCCAAAAGCATTTTGTAAGTGTCTACTAATTAGGAACTTCCTTCAATGTTGGAGTGCAAGGAACCAACAGTCTGCATACAGATTAGTCAGATATGTCAAACGAATGCACAGGCAACACTCAAGTTCTGGAACAGGACTGCAGTCCAGAAGTGGATGAACAACCAGAACTTTCCGCCAGTTTACAGCTGGTGAACGCAAAGAAGAAGAAGAAGAATACCACTGAAGAAGAAAATGATGATGACAAAGGACCAGTTTTTAACCAAAAGCATTCAACTAGCTACTCAGAAGTAGAAACAATTTTATTTCAGTGCATCTTTGGTTTGAAAAACAAGATGAGGCAATTGCAACACAGATCTTACTTTTGAGCAAGATACAGATCATCACCACTCCCCGTGTGGGTTCCGGGGCCCCATTGTGGGAAAAACAAGAATAGACCCACTGCCTACCCAAAAGCATGTCGTAAGAGTCGACTAATTGGGGAGCTTCCTTTGAAGTCGGAGTACATCTGCCTGAGGGGCAAGGAACCAACAGTCTGTATTCAAGTGAATATGATCTGTAAAACTGATGCACACGCAACACTCAAGTTCTGGAGTAGGACTGCAGTTCAGAAGTGGACAAACAGCCAGAACTTTCCGCCAGAGTTTACAGCTGGTGAACGCAAAGAAGATACAGATCATCACCACCAAGAAATCTCAAGCCTCAAAGACACAGAAGGAGATGACAGATTATTTAAAGTAACATAGTTTTACAGTATTACAAAACATTTCTGTATATTACTATGCTTATGTTAAAGTTTACATTGATCATTTTGTAAAAAATTAAACACAATAAGTATGTATTATTCACTTTAAAAGGATTTTTTTTTCAATTTCATCCCAAGCCCGCAGTGAAATCTCATTACTGTGCATATGTATTAGGAGATCTCTATTATCTCCCCATTTAGTTACCCGTGACAGCCCTGATCAGGATAGTGATGGTCAATGGAAGTTTTACTGTAAATGAAAACAGCTCTATCATTACCTTCTCTCCTGAAATACACACTGTAAACATCTGCTAACTTTTGCATGAGAATATTAGCCATCTGTATAGCTCCAACCACAACCTTCAGATCAGGCGATCCCAACATGCAGGCAATATGGCTAAAACAAAAGAAAAAAAGGATAGGTATACATTTCAAACACAAAGTAATCCCAGGAGAGTCTCTTTATGGCAGAAGTATGAATGAATCATGCACTGGGAGCAAAAGATGCGTGTGTTGTATCTATATTTCCCCCTTTTTTTAATGCAATACACCTTGTTTAGTTCTCTCCGCAAGGTCCACATAAGTGATTCTGTCAGACCATTTGAGTCTTATCAGGGTTCATAGCCAAATTCACTCACCCATTTTCAAGAGTTTAGGAGGGGTTTTTCAAGGTATTTTTTGTGTGCCTTGTTCCAGAATGTACGAGGCCTATATGGTACTATATTAATGTGAACATATGTGAAAATACATGCAGTTAAATTATCTAGAGCCTTGAAATGCCTTTAGGCATCTAGAGCATTTCAAAGCTTTCAAGACCCTAGTTGCCATTCTAGTCTTTATCCAGATATCAAGGGTTGGTACAAGCCCCTTCTTACTCTCTCTCAAGTTTGTGGTTTATTAGTAACCAGTTGTTAAGAGAGACATTGGAGAACATCGTGACAACTGGAAGGATCAGTGGAAAAAGGGGTAGAGGCAGATCAAGAGAGATGATGCTGGATGGGCTGAAACGATGGCATGGAGGGATATCATCAAGAGAGCTGATCTAGGCAACCAGGGATCGTGATCTGTGGAGACGTATGAGCGCCTACACCAGCTGGCAGGGCACATGATGATGATGAGCTGTTATCCATATTTCTAATCAGTTGGTTGCAAAGTAACATAATTCGGTAGTATCTAAAATAGACCATGACGACGATGATGATCAACAAGTTAACTATTGTACAACTGAGGCCATATATTCCTTCACTGTCCTGTTGTGCTATGATATACTGCATGTGGCTCGCAGTCTACTCCTAAACATCATTCTATCCTGTGCGATCCCTACAATATCATGGATAGAGAGGGAGGGCTGCGTGATCTCGAAGTTTGATGTCCGCCTCGAGTGCTAGAGGTTCCCGGTTCAATCCCCGGTAAAGGCTGGGATTTTCTCATGTGGATTTGGACTTCTAGTAATTCCACCTGGTCTCTGGGTAGTGAGATCGAACGTCCGTGTGCATTGTTACACACGTAAAAAAAATACTTTGGCAGTTGGAAAATCGAAAAGAGTAGCTAGCCTAACGGCGCTACCTGGACAAAATTTGTAGTTAATCTACCTGCAGTATTTCAGGATCCTTACCGGGTCTACAGAGCCTGTGCACTGTGATGAGCTTCTTCGGCCTCAGACGTGAGTTAGAAGAATGAAGCACTCATGGGTTACTACCAGTGTGCCATGATGTTGATCCGTTGTTCAAACCTTAAACCTCATGGAAAGAATCCAGTCCAACACCTTTGGCTTATCTCATCAACGTCTGCTTTAGTGTGTGTGTGTGTGTTTTTTGTTGTTGACATCCTCGCTCCCTCAATTCCTTCATTTCCCATTTTAGTGCCTGTACAACTAAGGTCACACCAAACATGTAATAATATTTCTAATAATAGGCGGAGGGGTTAGGGGGGGGGGGGGGGCATACCTTGATACAGCCTGATTAACCAGAACTTGTCTCAATAATTCTGGTGGAGAATAGTAGATCATTCTTAAGATAGTCTGAAGGCACTTGTGTCTGATATTAGGTCCAGCCTGTGTGAGGGAGCAAAAAGCAAAACGCTATAGGAAAAAGTCATTATGTGTGTGTGAAATCTTCTTTGTATATCTTTAGACATCAATCATCATCACATAGCAGGTCCTTTGCAGAACATCACTCTCATCACGGTCTGCCTCAAAGAAACTCAATGTAATTAATCTCTTTGTCCTTAGATATCTGGTGTTGGAACACACTCACTAGCTCTAGTGTGTAAATTATATTGCTAAGTTTAGTGTTAACATATATTCCCTGGCAAGTGTAGGCTTTGTTACTTCAGTGTGCATGTTATGTTTCTATGTTTCATCTTAAAACATGAAAGCTGGCCTCACATAGCGTAACTTTAATTTTATTTTACGGCACATAAATGAAAACTTCACAACAGTTGAAAACTAATGCCTTTCTGTATAAAAGAAAGTAGACTGATATTCTAAGCAGAGGGTCAATTGATTTTCAATACTGATTTTCAATATTGTTTTCAAATCAGCAAAATTAGGCCGAACATCATCCTTTAACATGCTGACTTAAACATCCTTACAATGCTGGTGAACTTTTACTAATGAGCTATACACATTGTATAAAACAGCACAAATACTTACTGACGAGCTTTACACCTCTAACAAACAGTAAAGACTTACTGATGTGCATCTTGTACAAAACAGAAAATCTTACTGATGATCTGTACACTCGTACAAACAGCAAACACTTACAGATGAGCTCTACATATCATACAAAACAGCAAAATTACAGATGAGCTGCACAGATTTGCCAAACAGCAAAAACACTTACTGAAAAGCTTTACATCTTATACAAAATAGGAGAAAACTGATGAGCTATACATCTCGGACAAAACAGTAAACACTTACTGATGAGCTATACACCTTGTACAAAACAACATAAACACTTACTGATGAGCTGTACGCCTCATACAAAACAGCAAACACTTTCTGATGAGCTTATACACCTCATACAAAACAGCACAAACACTTAATGATGAGCTGTACACATCGTACAAAACAGCACAAATGCTTACTGATGATCTGCACACCTCACATAAACAGCACAAACACTTACTGACGTGCTTTACGCCTCGTACAAACAGCAAACATTTACTGATGAGCTGTTCACCTCGTGCAAACAGCAAACACTGATAAGCTGTACACCTCCTAACATTGATAAGCTGTACACCTCCTGCAAACAGAAATCACTTACTGATGAGCTGTACACCTCGTACAAAACAGCAAACAAAGTCTGTATGAAGCTAGTGGCAAGATCCTGGTCTTCCTTCAGAATTTCAGCTCGTGAGTCACATCTCTCCACATTAGGGTCTGAGATCTGACCAGCTAAGAAATACATTTAACAATTACATTTGTGCAAAGTACTTACATTCATACACCCAATAAACGAACATATTTAAATGTGAATACATCAGAACAAACCCAGTCTTTGTACCTGCACAGGACTACAGGGTCATGGGTGCCCCAATGATAACTTCTTTGGAGGCTGAACTGCTCTGCTGACTTGCCATCTAGATTTTAGGTATTGTAATTGGGAAGCTGCCTGGTCTCAAGGCATGGTGTCAGCCTCAAGTACTAAAGGTTCCAGGTTTAAACCAGGCACTTTTTTCAGCTACAGGCAGATGTAATACCTTTAAAATAACACTGTCAAGCATCAAACAAAAGGTAAGAAAAACTAATAAATATATGCAAATTACATCGTATTATATATCTTTCTACTGAAGGTAAAGTAAATGACCTTTTTTTCACACCTTCAAACATATTGGGCATATAGGGCCAGACCTATATTTTATAAACCAATTGACACTTGGCGGGTGATTTGGTCAACATAATGCTGGTCATCTTTACTTTCCTGACTTAACCTGGTACACACTTAAGGCTGGGTCGACCTGGGAGAGAAGCTCATGTTTTGGAGTGGGGGAAAGTTCCGCCCGGGCAGGATCTAAACCCACAACCTTTGGTTCTATAGCTGAGCGACTAGCTACTACACCATCGTAGCTGCCATCTTTCTGCTAAGATTAAATGTTAGGTCATGAATTTTTTTTTCCACAAAAATGTGTAGAAAAATAGCTTTATTCAAGTGTTTTTACAGGGCATTAAAAGAACAACAATGACATGAAACTTGCCAGGATCTCCGGCTGCACTATTCTGTCCTGTAATCCCCAGTGTATTGGCTTTTCTGACCACTGGCCGAGCTGTGCCGGTGTCTTCGTTGATCTGCTGCATGGAATTGAAGTCCAGCAAGTATGATCTCCCCATTGTGGACAGGTTCACCTCTTCCTCCCCTCCCTGGTAAGCAGCCTGTTAAATACACAAATAAATGAGCATCAATCATCATCATGTTGAGCCATTATACATCACATAGGGCAGGGCTTTTTAACTAAGTTAACTCAGGCGCCAATATTTTGAAAATGGGGTTTGTCACGGGCCCCAGCATAGAAAGATCGTTATTACAATACAACTGGTAATGGTCTGCGAGCCAGTTGCTAGGCCCCCGCAGGTCAGATTTGCCCACCAGTTAAACAGCCCTGACAGAAGACTTGCAGTCTAGTCCTCCTGTCTATCCTGTGCAACCACCTGGTTATCACAGATGGAATCCAGTCCAGAACCTATGGCTTCTTTTTGCAACATTGCTCTTAGGATTTGTCTAGGACGTCCTCGTTTCCTAAACACATTAGTTTCCCATTTTAATGCCTATTTGGTGATTCCTTGCCCTTTATTCTCCATGATGTCTCCAAAATGTTGCCATCTTCTTTGTCTAATAACTGATGATGCAAACAAGTGTCTGTACAATTCTCTATTCTTTTTTTTTTCTTCTTTTGTCGTCTCATTGATACCTGGTTGTAGCCCAGTGTCTTGGTTTCCTATATTTGTTTTACGCTTCTCTGGTGGCTTGGGTGATGGATTTAGTGATGGCTTGGGTGATGGATTTAGTGATGGCTTGGGTGATGGATTTAGTGATGGCTTGGGTGATGGATTTAGTGATGGCTTGGGTGATGGATTAGTGATGGCTTGGGTGATGGATTTAGTGAAGGCTTGGGTGATGGACTGGGTGATGGTGAAGGCTTGGGTGATGGATTTAGTGAAGGCTTGGGTGATGGACTGGGTGATGGATTGGTTGATGGTGAAGGCTTGGGTGATGGATTTAGTGATGGCTTGGGTGATGGATTTAGTAAAGGCTTGGGTGATGGACTGGGTGATGGTGAAGGCTTGGGTGATGGATTTAGTGAAGGCTTGGGTGATGGACTGGGTGATGGATTGGTTGATGGTGAAGGCTTGGGTGATGGATTTAGTGATGGCTTGGGTGATGGATTTAGTGAAGGCTTGGGTGGACTGGGTGATGGTGAAGGCTTGGGTGATGGATTTAGTGAAGGCTTGGGTGATGGACTGGGTGATGGATTGGTTGATGGTGAAGGCTTGGGTGATGGATTTAGTGAAGGCTTGGGTGATGGATTTAGTGAAGGCTTGGTGATGGACTGGGTGATGGTGAAGGCTTGGGTGATGGATTTAGTGAAGGCTTGGGTGATGGACTGGGTGATGGATTGGTTGATGGTGAAGGCTTGGGTGATGGATTTGCTGATGGCTTGGGTGATGGATTTGAACATTTATCTTAAAGTACATAAATTCTCAACTGCACATGGAGACTCCAGCTCTAAAAAAAATGTTATATGTTGAATTAAGAATCGACATCATATCACTCGGGACACTCCCATAAGCGCTCTATCCCCCAGCAAGTAATGAGTTTCAGTTATGATGGCACCAGTAACTGTCTGAATGTATATCCAACTTGCTATTCCCTTGAGTGTGAGCATTAGCCAGATCCCCATTCTCCTCAGAAAGTAATGCTCTATTTACACTTCCGCAATATTCACTCGCTCCCAGAGTGCCCTCACAAGGTCTAGCCTGTCATACATCAGTTCACCACCAAGTGGTGCAGAACCCGCCAGTCTGTCTGCCTGCTCATTTCCAAACTCACCCGCATCGCTGGAGAGAATATCCAAAGAATGCTAACTACCCGGGACCTCTGAAGTGATACTTGCCACCCTGCACAGATCATGCCTGTCTCCACCTTTCTCAATATGTTCTGTGAGTCAGTTACAATCACAGCATGTGTGTAAGCTCTCAAAAGTCTGAGCAAAATAGGAAACTAAATTACATAGTTTTCAAACCAAACTACACATTTTTAATTCTAATATTATTTCACAATTTTAACACAAGGATAGTTTTATCCCAATTATTTTCTTTCTTTATTTTTGTTTTTGTTGCCCTGCTGCTTAGGCTTTTATCTCTGAATTGCATAGTTGTTGTGTTGAGTTGAGTCAAAAATTGACATCATAGCACTCTGGGCATTCCCATGCATGCTCCATCCACATCTTCAGCTGCTAGTGCCGAGTTCCAATGCTGTTGGTACCGGTCAATATCTGGTTTCATATCCGTCTTGTGAGCCAGCCAGACCCTCAGGTTTCACCCAGGTGTCTCATTCTCTCCAGGCCATAATAAGCCTACTTCTCTACTGATTCTTTTTCCTAAAGGGCCTTGACCATATCTGCCTTATTCTGAATTGCACATAGGAGTTATAAGTAGTTTCCTGTCTTTTGCTGGCTGCATAGTTTGTATAATGTTATACTGCATTTCTGTATTATCTCTTTTACTCCCTCCACCCATATTTTTCTTGGTCAGCCTCTTGACTTGAAGCTTGCTGTTCCCACGTACTATGCTCTACCTCAGGCTTGTTTTCTTCCACTATGATAGATGACCAAACCATTTGATTCTTAGTTATCTCACTAATCTTAAAACCGACTCCATTCCAGTATTTTTACTGTAATAAACAAAACAGCAATATATACTTCAAAGCACAATAAAACTACAAAAGGTATGGGACCTTACCTCAACGATTTTATTATCTATTGGTGTGTACATATGCCACAGTCCTCTGTCGTCTTGCCACTGCCAGAAGGCCCCATCATGGTTGATGACTCCACCCTTGAGGAGCAGGGCATTCACAGAGAACAGCCCATCTGTTGGCAGGCGAGGAAGCAGCTCTCTGTAAAGATTTCAACACACTGCATTATGCAAAGGGAATTTCACAGGTATCAAGAATCTGCACACAAATTACAGATACTGTAGCTGTAGACAGCAACAATATGAAACTACTGAGTTTAGTGTTTGGTGCAGCACGTGAGCTGTGTTTTTCATGTGAAATGCCTTTCATTTGTGCAGCGGTTGTGTTGTAGTATTTAATATGGCCGGTGGTCGGTTTACGTGTAAGCTGGTGAAACACCTTATGTAATAATTCTACATGTGTGTAGCCAACTCACGGCGCCAGACTACTTCCATCAACGACAAACCGCATTTCTGGTGATGACTGTTTGCTTTGGCGCCTCTAGTAACTGCCATTTGCATTTACTGTGTGCACATATTTCTGGATTGTTTCGGGATTAACTGTTTGTTCAACACTTTTTTAAATGCGACAGTGAGGGACATTTAATTTGATTAGCACAGGAAGGGAGCATGTATGGGGAAACCAGATTGCAGTGAAGCTGAAACTTCGACTAAGACTAAATATGAGACTCACCTCTAACAACAGGAAGATGAAAGGAACAGAGATCATGATGAGAAGCAGTGGAGTTTAAAAACCAAAATACAGGAAGAATACATAGAAGTATTGACAGCTGATAAAAAAACTGTCCGCCTGTGTCACCGTCTGAATGGACAGCTGATAAGAAACTGTCCACCTGTGTCGCCGTCTGCATGCAACTCCGTAGCTACAGCGACGTTCCTCCATTCACCCAAGTATTAATTCTGGTACCCATTACCTAGAGGCTGGGTGAACCTATCGACTGCACGAACGTGGCTCCCAAAGTAGAGAAAAATAAAAGAAACGAAGTTAAGAATAAGAGAATCTATCTATCTTCTTTTACCCCACCAGGACATCACAGAAGCGATAAACACCCGATGACACAAAGTGCCAAAATGTGGATGAGGATCACCCGTGGACAGGTCCCAGAAACCGCGTTCAGACATTAGGCCATATTAATGGCCAGGCTATACTGCAGCCCCTGGCAAGAGCCAGGGTAGGGATTCAATATAATAAAAAATTGCATCCCACAAGGGGATGACTTAGGTTATAACAATATAACAATAATAGAAAGCAAAGAGGGAAACAAATCAAAAGCAAGCAGGCAACAAAATAAAGATTGGGGGGGGGGGGGGGGGGAAGAAGAAAGCTTTTAGGCAGGGGGAAAAAAGATGAGGAGGATAACTAGCAGGGAGAAAATTAAAAAGTAAAGAAAAGAAAATAAGGGTTTAAAAATTAATGTTGTCTATACAATTTATTTAATTATGACTGATCAGTGATTCTCATCCTGTGGTTGCAACCCCTGAAAAGTGGTGGGGTGTTTGTCGTGTTGTGTGAAATAACTTATTAAATGGTTTCATGTGTTGAAAGGCAAGTGGAAATCAAAGGAAACACAAAGGCTACATACACAGGTAAACTGACAGAAGTACACACACAAAAAAACCTTAAAACTTTAACTTTAACATATAAAATAAAGTAAAACAACAATGATTCTGACTCACCCAATGAGGCTGACAATTTCATACAGCTCCTGGGGTGTTCTGGATATCAGCTGAAATAAGAGAGAACTATGGTTGTACAGCATAATCATACCTTTACAGCAAGGCTATTCAAACTGGCAGCCTGCAGATCATTGCCAGCTGTACTGTATTAATGATCTTTCTATATTGGGGCTCGGGCCACTGGCCCTTGACGATCCCTATTTTCAACCTGCTGGCCCCTGAGTAAGCTGCTTAGCTGAATAGCCCTGCTTTAGAGTACATACAGACACTGCTATAAATAGGGAAGAACAAATTATAAAGAAGAATACAGGGCGAAGATGGAAGGAAAAAGCAGAAGAGGAGGAGGTAGAAGGTAGAGGAGGAGGAGGAAGAAGAACAACAACAACAACAAAATCCAACAACAAACAGCAGAAGAAGATGACCAATCTTATTAAAAACTCCAATCTGGTAATGATATTTAGTAAAACAGTACAAAAAGCACTGATATTTTTTTTTTTAAAGAAATAATAACTAGAGTTAAAGAGAAGCAACAAGCTGACAAAAATTGCCACATTGTGTAAACCATTCAATATCAGCATAACAACAAACCTCAAAGCACTGCTCAGTTGACTCTGATGATGCTGTCAGAAGATACCTCAATGTTTCTGCTATTTCTGTGGGGCAGAGGAAACAATACACATCAGATATTTCCTGTCTGGTTAGAAACAACATAAGTAATAAAGACATAACATAAAGATCCCTTTTCACGCCTTTCAGCGCATCGGGCATATGGGCAGAGCGTCCCATATTTTTACAGACCATCAGCACTCTGTGGGTAATGTGGTCAGCATTACGCCGGCTGTCTTTACTTTCCCAGGACAGCCCATCCTGGTACCCATTTTAGGCTGGGTCGACCTGCGACGTCCCATACCATGACAAAAATCCACGCAGCCTGCAGTGGGTTTCGATCGCGGTATGCTGGCTCTCGAGTCAGACTCGCAACGCTTCAGCCACGGACGCCGCAGAAACAACATACACCATACTTAATTAAATAAATCAGGTGAAGAGCATCCACCACACACTTGGAGGATAGGGAATCTTAGAGGCCCTAAGAACATCCTGAATAATGAATTATTTCTTCTTGTTCATTGTTCGTCCTAGTGATGTAATTGCATTGTGTCTGTCTATACAGCATAGCTGCGATAGTTGTGTCTATCGGCAGACACATCTGACTTTACAAGGCCCTTAATTAACTGGGTCAACCTTTCCAGTTGGTTTCGTGGGACATTACCTATTCCTGTGGTGTTCTCTCTGTCCCTCATTTGCTTCTATCAACGACAAACTAAATTCCCACTGGCGACTGTAAGCTTTGGCGCCATTTGCATTTACTGCGTGTAATATTTCTGGATCGTGCTGGAACAATTGTTTGTTCAGTTTTTCAAATGGAACAGTGAGAAACATTTCATTTTATTTTTACTGGCACATAAACAGTTCAAGTATGGGGTGACCCAATTGCAGTGAAGTTAAAACCTCGACTAAGACTGTGTGTTCCCTCTAAACAAAAACATGAATCATCCTTACTCTGTTTCAAAAGAATGACGGCCAGGTCTGGGCAGTTGGAGCACATGATAACCAGCATACGGACAACTGTAATAAACACACTAGTACTGATCACTGGCGGGCTCATCATTAACTGCAACAAAATGGAAAGCAGGAATATATAGAGACATTAAGTTAAGATAGTACAGCTAGTCTTCACACATAATAAGGATGTCATGAAATTGTCAATGTCTACCATGATCATTTACACAGACGGTTCAGCGTCAAGAGGCAAAAGAAGTGCTTGGGGCTTCTTAGCAAAAGTTAATGGTCGACGTTTGGTGCAGGAGAGCCTAGCATATGATACCACAACATCCAGCTTAAAAAATGGAGGTGGAGGCGGTCACTGCAGCTTTCCGCTGGCTACAGAACACGACACACACACATCATGATTGTAGCTGATTCAGAAAGCATGCTGAGGAAGATCAGAACAGGTATGCTTCATGCAGAGTGGCATGCTTTGCTGCGGAGGACACGGGTGAGGAGTATTGTCTGGATTTTTTCACCCGGGAACGCCGGTGTGTTTGGAAATGAACAGGCGGACAGACTGGCTGGCTCTGTAAAACTTGGTGGAATACTGATACATGATAAAGCAGACGTGGTTAGTGCCTTGTGGGAGAGCGTGTACAGTTTGGAGGAGCAGATGGATCACCACAGTCTGATGAGATTGATGCAGTGGGGAGTGACAAGAGGTTCTGGCAGATGCTCGAGGCTAGGCAAGACGGACGTTTAATCAGAATGCTACTGGCACCATTAGTATCGGAACTCTTCGCTGGCTGCTGAAGATAGGGACGGAGCGCTTATGGGAATGCCCCGAGTGCTGTGATGTCGGTTCTTGAATCAAATCAAATCAATTCAATGTCTACCAAAAGACCCTTTTCCACACCTTCGAGTGTACAGGGCATATATAGCTAGACCTATACCTTAGAGACCAACTAACTGGAACTTGGCGGGTGGTGTGATCAGCCACACACTGGCTGTCTTTTCTTCCCAGAACTACACCCGGTACCCATTCAAGGCTTTGTTGACTTAGTAGCCAGTCAGTCATTTTTGAAGGTTTTGTTATTTGTCTCAGCCAGGACCTAAACCCACAACCTTCTGATCTTCAGGCAAGCATGTATCTGCTACGCTACAGTGGTTTCCAATGTCTAAAAAACTAAAAACAAGTTAATAAAGGCCATTCAACAGCAGAGGAGCCACGCTAGCATAGTGGCTAGATGTGTGTCTGCATATTTAAATCTGCCCAGGTGAGTGTGAGCGGGGGCCTGGGGGAGGAGGGGGTAGCCTTCTCTTTCAAACTGACCAAACCTTCTTTCTCTTAGCATTTTAGTCTTTTTCCGGCACTGGACTTTGCGTGCGCATCTGTTTTACAAGCCTCTCATGCATCTTTCCTGTGGCAACTGATGGATGTGAAAAATAGACTAATTCTCTCTGCATTTTTCAGAAAAATATCAGAGCTTTTGAAATGTAATGCTACCAAAACATTCCATACAATAGCGTAGAGCATGAAGAAGAAAAACTCGACAACCTGCATAAGCTGAACATCAAGGAGAACTGGCCCATAAACAGCATCCTCTCCCATATTTTGGACATGTCAAGTGCCATGGTGGTCTCGAGAGAATGGCAATGGAGGGTGGCGGTTTCAGGAAAATGAGTTAGAGTCGGATCTCCATGAATGTGGCTACTTGACATTGAAGACACATTAGCTATGTAAGCACACGGGGCTGGAGAACTGCTGGCTAGAAAAAGAGAGTTTCAGGTGCACACCTCTGGAATCGACTTGCTGACTGAGCCCTGTATATCTAACACACTCCAGGCATGGACATTTCTCCAGAGACTAGACAGTCAAGAGTTGTGAAGAAACATCACTGCCCTCACACGAGTCAACCAGGCACTTGAACATGATAGTCAAACAATTTGATTTGTGTCTGATTTCAGCAAATGAATGTAGTTTCATAATTCCAACATGACAGATTTGATTCAACTGCAGGGGATTTTAAAAAAAGACTGCTTTATGTTGATTTCAATAAAGGAGCACCATCTGTTCAGAAAGCAATGGCAAACTGCTGAACATAAAATGTACTAGTAAAACAATAAGCAGCCAACTTTTCAGGGGTTGCGGGTGTTTTTTTTTTTCAACTGTTTAAGATTGATGTGAAACTTGTTGCTGACACCTACCAGTTGCTGGATATTGGTCAGGAGGTCATGAACAGCAATCTCCTTGAGCAGCCGCTGATCGTTCTGGAAGTTGTCAACCAGACGGGCAAAGCACAGGCACACACTTTCAACCGATTTGCTGTCCTGAAAAAAAGAAGAGTCACAGTTTTAATGTTAACTGGCAACTACTGCCTTCTTTCTTTTCTGCTCACCATCTTGAGGTTCCGGTGAAAAGTCCTAGTTGTTCGTCCATTGGGACTTTAGCTTTGTGCCAGGGCCTGAGTTTTGCATGAACATTTATTTTACTGGCTTGTGTGCTGGTTGTTTTTTTGCCGCTCAGGCAGGTGCACTCAGACTTTGAAGGAAGTCCCCAATTAGTTGACTCCTACGACATACTTGTTGGGGAGGCCCTGGGTCTATTCTTGTTTTCCCAACAATGGAACCCTGGAACCCACACGGGCAGCAACTACTGACTGTATTTACCACTTCTGCAATGTAGGTAGGAAGAAATGGGGAGTAGCTGAGCCTGAGGATTTATTGTCGCACAGCTAGTACTGTCACCACGAACTGTGCAAAAAAAGGATTTTATTTTTGCCTCTGAAGAAAAAAGCTTACCAAGGATATGAACCTGAGTCTCGCACATGAGAGCCCTGGGTTCCTAATGTTCGGCCAGCCACTTCTCAAGGTTAATAAGGTTTATCATATTCACTTCCAAAAATCATCATCAGGTACCTCAACAACTGGCAGGCGCAATCATTTCCCTCCACACATTATGATCTCCAATAACTTTTGTCAGTTCAACTGCTGGCATCCTTCCACGCCATGACACAAGGCTGTCAAGAATCTTCTTACCCTGTCTTTCTCTATCTCTTTCCAGTTATTACATGTTCTAGTTTCTTTCTTCTCATAATATGGCCAAGACCTGAAGACAGCCTTATGTTTGTGATAAGTTGTCTTCAGGATCACTAAATAAACAGAAACAATGAACATGACAATATTGCTAGTATAAGTTAATTTAACAAATAGATGAGACATGGAAACAAGAAAACAAAGCCTTTCTTGTAAGGAGTTAACAAATGTATGCTGCGCTGTTTGGGACAGAAAGAGTTAAGCCATTGTAATTAAAAAAATATATGTGTTATCAGGACCCAAAAGAGAAGCAAAGAATGGTAACGCTAACTGACCATTCATGTCGTCGGAGATGTGGAAAGATATGAAAATGTTTCAGATGTTAGTGAAATTCTAAATTTTTGTTTCCCTCATAAACTTTGCTGGTGCGTTTACTTTTGGCATACGTAGCGCATGTTCTAAACTCCTGTCACACCACACTTCTTCCAGTTCCTCTACCCCCCACCCTCTCTCTCTCTCATGTGTGCTCAGTGTCTGGAAATACATATACAAACAAAAATACGAGAACCAGCCCAAATACATATGAGTTAACTAACCACTCACAAAATGTCAGCGTATGTGGTTTAGGCGTTGCAAACGATCTTCGTAATGCCGGGGTTCGACCCCAGGGAAGGGCCCTGCGCCTTGTGGTGGTTTTGACAGTGGTATCGAAAAGCCGACTGTCCAGAAAGCAATAGCAAACTAATGGACGTAAATTTGCCTAGAAAAACCACAACAGCCAAAAAAAGCTGGGGCTGGTTCTGCAATGTACTTCCTATAAAGGATACACAACTAACTTTTTAACTTAAACTCACAGAATGATTCAGCCTACTGCTGAGGAGAGACAGGGAGTCCCTCATGTAGTGGAACTCATCTGTGGACATGGACTGGACACAGTTGGCCGTGATGTTCAGTGCCCGCCGCTGGGCTATGATGCTGAAAAAGTCCAGGAACATCAAGCAGGCTGAAATGCCACCCTGCAAACAGAAAAAAATTAAAAAACATGAAAAAATCTATCTAAATGAGAAGTACAACTAGTCAGCTTCACAATCAACACATGGACAATGGTACAGATTAAAGGTCGGCCTGTTTCCTCTTTAGTGTTGATTATCTGCTAGACCCTCTGGTCACCCTGTTGATTTAGCCTTTCAGTTTATGGACTCTCTGTCTGCTCTACTGCACTGCCCTTCTAATCCCAGAGAGTCCTCAACATGTCCGCTTTATCATAAAGTAGCTCACCACTAAGAGGGGCTGCAGCAGCTAATCTATCAGACTGCGCGTTACCTCGTAACCTCAATCCTGGACAGAAAATCCATACTTAGCAAATAAAAGACAACAGAAAGAATGTACTGTTAGAAACAATGTACTGTTGAGTACTTTTTGTGAACATAAAGATACAGTGCCGTTTTATAAGATTACTGACTAAAACTATTTGTCGGTTTCAGAAAATCCATGAGAAGGTCAGCGTAAAGACAGTTTCTAAAATCAGAAAAACAATGTGAGACAATTTTTAAAATATACAATTTAGAGAACATGATTTTAAGTTTCAATATGTACTTCTTCTTCTCAGCGTTCATCCAAATCTGAACTTTAGTCTTGTTCCAGAACCTGAGTGTTGCGTACATATCTGACATATCTGTATGCAGACTGTTAGTTCCTTATCTCTCAGGCAGATGCACTCTGACATTAAAGAAAGCCCACCTCAGTCGATTCCTATGACATGCTTTTTGGGGAGGCAGTGGGTATATTCTTGTTTTTCCCACAATGAGGCCCCGGGAGCCCCACACGGATCATTTTAATATGCTCAAAAATAATTTTATTTTAAACATCACAACAGACAACTCACCGCCTGAAGGATAGTTTTTCCATGTCGCTTGGAAAGAGTTTCCAAGGCTGCCAATGATTGTTCAGCAACGTCGATGCAATTAATTACTTGAAGCTGGAAACAAGTGAGAAAATTCACAGAGAAAATCAATCATGCAAGCTCTTTCAGATGTGGAATTGAAAAGGGGGGAAGGAGACTTCACACTCGTTCAACCGGCCAGGGAAGCTCTTTCACAGCAATAACCTGATTTCCCATTTCTGTTCTGCATTTCAGCTCTGGCTCTGAAGCATCTAGTGAAAGGAGCTGTGATGCAGTAACTGTGTTATTTGTGTAAGTAATTTTAAAACACAGCCCACAGAAGCCAGCTTCAGACCTCAAAAATGAGATATCTGAGATAGGTGGTTCAAATGACAAAAAGGGACAAAGTTACCAACCAGACAATATGTCAAGATCTTGAAGCCCAGGCCTTAAAAATCACAGTTTATGATGGTTTGGACATGTATGCAGAATTGGAGAAAACTGGCCACCACAGCAGGCATGGGAGGCTAAGAACCAAGGAACCAGACCACCAGGGCGACCCAGGGTCCGGTGGGAAGACAACATCCGACAGTCCCTAAGGAAAAGAGGACTGGAATGGAACAAAGCCAGAAAGAAAACTGCTGATAGAGAAGTCTGACAATCTCTCTGGCAAACCTCTACACCCCAAGGTAGAAGAGGGGTAAGTAAGTAAGTTAATAAGTAATTTAAAAAAAACATTTTTGATTAATTTTAAAAAAAAAGTAACAAAAGTTACTAACTCTTTCAGTCCTGAACAATGCATAGCGTGTGATGGGATCCTCCTAGTAGTCAGCCAGCGAATAATGTGTTCTCACAGAAGTTCAGTTCAGTCAGAGTATGTTTTAGAAATAAATATCTACTCAAGTGGTCATATCCACATGTTAAGCTTTTTTTTATTATTATTATTATTTAGCTGTCATAATGTTTTCCTACTTTCACAGTTGCTGCCAACTCTTCTGGTATTAAAAGAGTTAGGAGAAAGGAGACTAGGTGTCCTATTGGTTGGTTACTTTACTGCACAGAATCCTCTTGTTACAAGAAGCAAAGATATAGAAAGTATTGTTAGAATTACCTTCTCCAGAAAGACTGATACACCTTCTACTACAGAGGCTGAAGATCGAGGCAAGGCTTCCATCATGTAGGTGAGGGCTCGGCTAGCATGGATCATCATTTCAAAGTTGTGCTCCATCTGCAGCAGCTGAATTAGAGCAGGAACCACTTGCTTGATAGGAAAGCCCACAAGACTGTCTTCATTTCCCATGACAAGGATCTGCATGATAATTAAAACATAAAATTAAACAGTATACATATATTTTTACAAATTATTGGCATGTCTTTTTCTTTCTTTGTCCCCTCCACGGCTGCAGACTGTAGGATAAGACTGACATCTCAAGGATGACAATCAAACAAACAGAAATCACAAAAACCCTGTTTTACTGTATAGCGATATAGTACAGTTATGCTGAGGTGTCACAAAATGCTTACAAAGTAACTTGTATGTAAAATCCCCGTGCGGGTCCCGGGGCTCCACTGTGGGGAAAAACAAGAAAAGACCCATTACCTCTCCCAAAAGCATTGTCGTAGGAAATCGACTAATTAGGAGCTTCTTTCGAAGTCGGAGTACATCTATCTGCCTGAGAGGCAAGGAACCAACAGTCTGCATGCAAATGAGTCGGACCTGAGAAACGGATGTGCACGCATCACTCAAGTTTCTGGGACAGGGCTAGAGTCCAGAAGTGGATGAACAACCAGAACTTTCCGCTGGAGTTTACAGCCGCTGAACGTGAAGAAGAAGAACACTTGTATGTATAGTAGTCCAGTGCATGTGGGTCATTTCTATTTTTTTATATTTTAATACGAACACTTCATGAATCTGCATGTCATCCTTACTCAGGGGCCATGCTAATCTCTGTATTATTCAATTTACGTCGCAAACAAACAAACAGCATTTGTTGGTTGCTTGCCCTTTTTTACTAGGGAAATTTTACATTCAGTAACCTGCTAATGCTCGCCTGACGGTCAATGCTAATTATTGCATCTGTAATTGTAATTGCTACACCAAATGCTGCCCCCGTTACAAATCTTCAGACTCTTTCTGCCCCAAACAAAGCACCATGAGTGACTGGGTATTTTTAATGTGTACCAATCAACATGTTTTGCAGGTTTTTACATCTTATGTTTACTGAGGGACAACATATTTGTTTCCTACTAGGGTTGTATATTTGGCCCCCTCTGGAAGTTGTGTACCCCTGAGTCTAGTGTTGCCATTCGTAACTCTCTCAGATATTAGCTAGGACCTTGTGGGACTAAAAGACATAAGTAAACAGTATCAGATTCATAGTCCCTGCCTTTTAAAGAAGGAATGGTAAGTAAGAAAGTGCTTTGTCGCCAACAAAGTTATAAACAGACACATACCTGGCACATTTCCATAACAGCTGACAATTGTTGAGCTTCATCCCCAGTTGCCTGAAGTCCCTGAAGCAAATGCTGAACTTTGGTCACTGTGGGATGTTAAATGATGAATTATAAACAATATTTATACTGATTAAAAAGTAAGGGTAAAAGTTAAACATTTTCATGCTTCTGGTGTTTTGGCTATACAGAGTGAAACCTATTTTTTCCTTCTTCTTCATTGCATTCACTGGCTGTAAACACTGACGGGAAGTTCTGGTTGTTCATCCACTTAAGGACTTTACTCTTCTTCCAGAACCTGAGTTCTGTGTGCACATCAGTTTTACAGATTTTATCAATTTGTATGCAGACTGTTTGTTGCCTGCCAGGCATACGCTCCGATATCTAAAGAAAGGTGAAACAAAACACTTGATGGGAAGTGTGTTCGACATCACACCAGCTATCTTTACTTCGCAGGACATTTACACTGCAGCCATTAGGATGGATTGACCTCGGATATTAAGTCAATTTTGGAGAGAGAGAGAGAGAGAGAGAAATCTGCCTAGAAGCAGATTTGAATCCTGCACTTAGGGTCAGCAGACAAACATCTAACTGCTATGGTACAGTAGTCCGCAAATTATTTTTTACACCTTAAATTTTTATTGTCCTGTTTGTTTTATCAGCAAATTAGCAAAATTTTGAAAGAAATATAGAATCCCTGTTTGCTAGAACTTCTCATACCTAATATCACTGCACATTAGGCATTCCCATATATGTTCAGTCCTTTCTCTTCTTCTTCTTCTTCGCGTTCACCAGCTGTACACTCTGGCGGAAAGTTCTGGTTGCTCGTCCACTACTGAACTGCAGTCCTGCTCCAGAACCTGAGTGTTGCGTGTGCATCAGTTTTACAGATCTCATTCTCTTGAATACAGACTGTTGGTTCCTTGCCTCTCCGGCAGATGCACTCCGACTTCAAAGGAAGCTCCCCAATTAGTCGACTCTTACGACATGCTTTTGGGGAGGCAGTGGGTCTATTCTTGTTTTCCCCACAATGGGGCCCCGGAACCCACACGGGGAGTTCAGTCCTTTGATGCAGCAGCCATCCCAAAGTACCTCTACCTGCTTTCCCCATAAGATGGTTATGTCTCCTATCAGGACCTCGTAGATGGCATAAATATACTTGGCCAGGCTTCCTTCCGTGGTCATATATATCAGCTCTGTCCATGCAACTTTCAACTTACATGCCGGAACCCTCTTACTATCATCACGTGGCATACACATATTGGCAGTCATGGTGCTTGTTCTACCTTTGTTATATGACCAAGCAATCCAGATATTTATCTGTTTGACTCCCACCCCCATTGAGTTCCCAGTTTTTTTAATTTAATTCTCCTCATAACAAGACCAAAAGAAAACTGTCTACATTTTAATTCTCGCTAATAAGTTTTTCAAAGGAATCAAAGTCAAACATGTTTCTGTCCATCCATGGTATTCTTTATATTTTCATAAGAAACAAAATTTGCACAGCCATTAGTTATTACTGTCTACCTAGTGCCCATGTTTCACATGCATATATCAATATAGGAGACTTCCTGTCAATACGATGAGCAAGCAGGCTTACTGTTTTTAGTCGTGGCACGTTTTTGCTTCTGACAATAGTTAGCCATTACATTTTACTCCACTGACTCCATAAGGTGACTGAATAGATATAGTTTCATTACCATGCTACTTCACTGAGTGCATGGCATGCCACGCTGTGTTTGTGCACTGCAAGTTTCATTTAGACTTCAAAAGTCGGAGTGCATCTGCCTAAGAGGCAAGGAACAAATAGTTTGCACACAAATGAATCGGCACAGGGAACATCAGGTTCTAGAACAGGATGACAGTCCAGATGTGGACAAACAACCACAGCTTTCTCCTGGAGTTTAGAGTTGGTGAACATGAAGATGATTTGGAATGCTTTTTGACTTTGCCCAACATGGTTTGTGTTGTGAACTGCAGATTCAGAAAATATCAGTGACCTGTTGCCACATTCAGTGGTGCTTTATGCAATTAAGTTTGTGTACAACTACTGATCTGTTGTAACTGTTGCGCTATCGATAATGAACTGCATTTCTAGTGTCAGACTGTTTGTGTTGGCATTTCTGACAGCTGCCTTTTGCATTTAATGTGCGTATATGCTTAACTGGCTTTGCTGAGACTCCAGTCTGTGTCAATTTGTTCACAAAGGACAGCAATGGAAATTCAGTGTGGTTTTCTTTGGCACAGAAACAGAGTAACTATGGGGGTGACCTGTTTGCTATGAACGTGAAACAGCAATTATCTGATTACATCAATACAGATGCTATATTGCTCTTTAATACTATTTGTCTAAATCCAATTGTAATGTTAAAACAAACATGTATGACTCACGTGTGCCCCCACTCATGGTGCGATGCAAAAGCTGATGCATGCGTGGTCCAAGAGCTCCAAACAGGTGAGATGGCAGACCTCTGGCTTCCAGCAGAGCTAAGGTTAGAAACAATCGTACAAAGATAAGTCAAAACACTGCTAACTTATTAATGGAATTTAGCTGCAAACAATTAAAGGGGGAAAGCATAATGCAGCTTCATTTTAATAATAATGATTGACTTGTAAAATATTATTCCATTAAGCTCTAAAAAGAAGTAAAGAAATATTTAGTTTGATAGCATGTGGATCAGGGCCAATCAACTAAGTTTACTCAGGGGCCAAAAGAATCAAACATGGGGATCATTCCAGGCAACAGACCTAAGCCACAGAATAAAAAGATGATTAATACATTACAATTGGCAGGTGATCCAACTGACCACTTGCTAGGTCTCTGCGGGCCAGATCTGGTCCACCAGTTGTTAAATAACCCCGATTTAGATATATGTTAAAGTACTACCACAAGTAAACCATTAACAATGCTTTTCAGCTGGCACACTGTGTTGTTTACTGATAGGCTGAAATATGTGCACTGCTGAGCCCAATACATCCGATTTCAGCATACCCTTAATTAGAGGCAGTGGGGTCTATTCACTGCCCCCCAGTAAAATGCAGCATCACAGCAGTCAGGGCATTCTTATGCATGCTTGTTCCCAAAGGGGCCTTGACCACATATGCCTTGTCATGTATCAACTCACCACCCAGTGGTGCAGATCCAGCCAATATGTCTGCCTGTTCATTACCCACTACACCGGCATAGCCTGGAGAAAACCTGTGACACTTGCCACTCTGCTCGAAGCACACCTGTCTTCACCTTTCTCAGCATGCTTTCAGTCTGTTACAACCACAACTGAAGATAAACTGTAGATTAACTAACCTTCTGGCCTAACACCACATCGGATTTCAGCAAACCCTCAGTCACCTTTCACGACATGCTTGTTACAGGGCTGGAGAAACCCAGCCTCAGAACAACAGGGTATAAACGTTTTTATGTGGACTATGTGGCTGAGACTGTCACTCCCACATTAGACCTTACAGTCAGAGCAGTTTGTTCCCTAAACAAGCAGCACAGTCCCATGGTCCCCACGGGATGAGGGTCGCCTATGAGGGGGCTGAGTGGTCTCTTGGTATGGTTCAAATCCCGGTGAAGACTGGGATTTTTTCACGTGGACTTCTAGTTATTTCCCCCTGGTCACTGGGTAGTCAGAGCTGATGCCCGTGTGTATTAGTGAGCACACAAAAAATCCCTTAGCAGTTGGAAATTGAAAAGAGCAGCCTAACGTCGCTGCCCGAGCAAAATTTGGAGCTAAAAATCTACCCAAAGTATTTCAAGATCCCCGCTGGTGCTACAGAGTTTGAGCACTGCGCTGAAATTTTTCAGACAGGCTTGAGTTAGAAGTAGAACGGAGCACTTATGGGTTGCACCCGTGTGCCATGATGTTCTTCCGTTGAATAAACAAAAACAAACATATAAACATGAATCTGTTCATATTTTTTTCCTTCAAAATGGAACCCTGGAAACTACATGTGGAACAATGCTTTTAAAAGAAAACCTGTGCATGTGGGTAATCAGCTGGACCTGGGGGAGGGGGAGGGGGAGTCAGTAGGTCTATCCTCTGACCCCACATTTGGACCCAGGGAACCCACACACACAAAATGATACCATCATATCTATGAGAATAATGAGAAAATAATACACAAGGCCCAAGTTATAAGACACACAAAAAGAAGTGTCACCTTGTAGTCTGTTCATGTCTGACTCATCACTGTCATTGTCAGGGCCAGCGCCCCCTACGGCCCCGAGTGGCATCCCTGAACCTGAATCTGTAGAAGTTATTGGGAAATGTTAGACTGTCATTAAACTGTAAACTGTTAGGTTGTCATTAAACATCACAAGATCTCTAGGGCCTCAAACATTGCGGCTCTGTGGCTTAAGGGGTTAGTGAAATTGTTTCACAATACAATCCTTGTTCGCCACGGTCTGATTCCTGCAGTGGTCACTTTACAAGACTGTTCTCATAGCTTTCAGTCAGTGGTATGAGAGTTCCACTGTGAAAGAGATTACAGCCTCACCATGTAAAAATGCCCATTGTTAGCAGTGGATTGCAGCCAACATCCCTTGTGATGATAAGACAACTACAAAAATTATAATAATAACCACTGAGCACCAATTTTTACATGCAAGCATGTTAACATGAACATTATAAGAACACTGTTCAATACAATATTCTTATCAAAGCTATGCTATTAAAGTCAACACATGGACATTGTCTTCAGAAGACAGAAGGAAAATAGTCATGACAGAAATGAAATGTTAACGTGCTATGCTAGGTGTAACAAGGTAAGATCAACTTAGGAACAATGATATAAGGAGGAGAGTCTGCACAAAACCAATAACTGACTTTATAGGCAGAACATAGCAAATAAATAGTTAGGCCATGCAACAAGATTGGCATCATACAGGGCACCACAGAGAGCAATGTCATACATTTTAAGATAGAGCGATAACAGACCCAGAGGTCGAAAATGCAGAAGATGAACCACAGAAATATCAGAGACACTGAAAAGTACTTTATACGAAGCGAACAGAAGGACCCTTTCCAGAGATCTCTTCCTGCCCTGACACTGCAAGGTATTCCAGGAGTAGCATGTGTCTAGCCTGAAACCCAGCAGAATAAAACAAGAATAAAATGCAGGTCTTATACTTCTGCAATGATACTGTGTTCTTCAGCCAGTGGTTTGCGCACCACCTGTGGTCCATGGAAATGTGATCTACCATAAATGACTGCCTAGTCATGTAGAGGCTCCAGGATTTCAGCACTACAGTGTTGCATAGATTGTATAACCTCTAAACAGCAGAATACATCGTGACAGTAAGAAAGCTGGAGAGGAGGAGAGGAGAGGCAGAGGGAGAGCGAGAGGAAAGTTGCTGGACAGTTTGACACAATGGCATGGAGGATTATCTGTGTCAGAGTTGACTGAAAGTACACAAGACAGAAGGTTGTGGACAGACATGACTACCAATAGCACAAGGCATGGACTTTAAGAAGAAACAGCAGCAGATGTCGCTGAAGAAGATGAGCTGAAAATTGTAATTGTGTACATCATATTTTAAAGATGTCTAGAGCCAATTCTCTCCATGAGTCAGGGATCCGCCGTGGTCTAACGGCTGGATTCTCGCCTGCAGACTGAGAGGTCATCAGCTTGGTTCCTGATGGGCGTGGGCCTTTTTTAAAAATTACCTCGGCTCTTAGGTCGACCTAGCCTTAAGTGGGTACCAGGTACAGTCCTTAAAAAAAATCCACCAAGTGCCGTTTGATCTATAAAATATAGGTCTGGCCCTTTATACCTAATACGCCTGAAAGTCGAGGAAAAATTGTCCTTTACTCACTGTGGCCAAATAAAGTGTTTCTACTTCTCAAAGTTCATGCCAAGTGGCATGTCACTTTTACATGCCTCTGAGAATTGTTCTGTCAATTCTGATAGATTTATCGCCACGCTATGTTGCCAAACTAAAACTTTTTCTCTGGGTCTCCTCATGTCAGTGTTTTCCTGAAACTATCCTATTGTTACAACGTCATCCACTTTTCCCCCCATCCTCATGATGTACTGTGCCTAGAGAATATGGATTGATTTCTCATGCTGGTAACCAGCTGTCTTTGTGAGTTCATTTCTTTCAAAACATCAACATTTTTGGTTAATCTGTCTACGGCAGGGTTATTGTATTCAACCAAGTTCACCCAGAGGCCTAAATTCTGAACATGTTGATCACCACAGGCCAGTGGCCCAACCCTGGTATAAAGAGATCATTAATACAATGCACCCGGTAATGATCCAAGGACCAATTGCTAGGTCTCCATGGACCAGCAGGCGGCCCGTTAAACAGCTCTGGTCTATGGTGTTATCACTCTTCAATAATACCAAACCTCGGCAGCTCCCACCTGTTTTCACTGATACCTTATCTCTCCTGCCTTCCTTGTGAACACAGAAAAGATTATTCTCAAACATATAAAGTAATTGGCCCATCTGACTGTGACATAAATTTGGTCAATACAATTTGAAACATTAAGTACTAGGCAGCATTTTACAAAATTAAGAATATTCTATGCAATCTTTCTTTGTCAGCTAAGATACAAAAAAGAATGCTCAAAAGCTATATCCTGAAATATGGAAGTCAATCATGGACAGTTGGATAATAACTGAAAAATTATTTTGGCAACAGTGGAGACATGGTTTTATAAATAAAATCATGAGAACATGGGGAACAATTTTTTTTTTTTTTACAGAAACGAAGATGTCTTGAAAGAAACTGACTCACAAAGAGAATTGACTGCTAACATCAGAAGAAGACAATCCACATTCTTTGGTCATGTCATAAGACAGAGAAAACTGAAGCACATCGTGACAGTGGGAAGTTGCAGAGGAAAAGACAGAGAGATCGCAAGAGAAGATCTGGATAATCTGACATCATGGCATGGAAGATCACCTGTATCAGAATTGACTCAAAGTATACCAGACAAAAGGTTGTGAATAAAAATGACCACCAACGCCACACGGCACGGACTATGGAAGATCATTTGTGTCAAAAATTATTACAAGTACACAAGAGAAAAGTTTGTGAAAAATATAACTACTAATGCCACATGGCATGGACTATGGAAGATCACCTGGGTCAAAAATTATTTTAAGTACACAAGAGAAAAGTTTGTGAGTAAAGATAACTACCAACGTCACACGGCACGGACTATAAAAAGAAGTACCTGGAGCGTCTGACTGTGAGATAGCACTACCTCCCCCTTCGCGGGGACGGGTGCCACCGCTGCTTCCACTATCCTGCTGCTGGTGACTGGACGACGACATGGAAGTAGTTGATGTTGGATTGTTGTTCTTGCTGTGTTCTTGTCTCTCCCTGGAACTTGCGCTGGCACTTCGATTGGCACCAGCACGCCCCGACCCCCGGTGTGTTGTAGACGACTGATGCCCACTGAAAGTTTAAACAAAATTTGCCATGAACACAGAAGTCAAACAATAAGTGACAAACAGCATGTTTCAAAACCAACACTGTTGTTAAACAGGGCCACTGCCAAAACTGGAAAAAGGGAAAGGCTCATTGCATGTCAAATAAAAAAGCTGTTTGCTGCATTTGAAAAGAAAAAATCTTCCTCCTCTTAGAATCTATAAACTATGGCAGAAAGTTATGGCCGTTAATGCACCTCTGGACTTGCTCCAGAACCTGAGTTTTCAGGCATGTGCATTCTGACTTTGAGGAAAGGGAATAAGAATTGATTTACTAGATACACAAAGATTATCACATTGTGAGAAACAATTCACATTTTATGGACACCATGAAAACGTGAAAACAGAGTATATAATGATAACAGGACACTGCATGGCACATCAGATGTGATCATATGGGCTCCGATCTCTTCCTAAGTATGTCACTAAGTGTTTTGGAGCTAATAACTTCCATTTTTATTCTGGCTGATGTTATGATAGGTGGCTCATGCATGGTTAACTTATCTCTATGCCTTAACTAGTACACCATTTGGGTATGCACAAGACAGCTGGAGAAATAGAAAAGCAGGGAGTGTCCAAGAGAGTCTGTCATTAATAAATGGGCAAAGAGCATCAATATTAGAGGTGATAAGCAGTCCACAAGATAGAAGGCCAGGACAAACATGATGACTAACACTGTATAATACAGACCAGGGATATTCATATGGCAGTCTGTGGACCAAATCTGGTCAGCAGAGGCCTAGCAAGTAGCCAGCGGATCGTCTGCCAACTGTGTTGCATCGATCTTTCTATGCTAGGGCTGGAGCTACAGGCCAGCGACAATTTTCATTTCCCAAGATTTTTTTTTAGTAAATTTAGTTAAATGGCGCTGATACAGACTAAAGAGGGTGCTAAAATGTTACATAGAACCAGTTCTGTTGTATCGCTGCGAATCTTGGAATGTCAGTGAACAAATTAGGAAGAATTTGGAAGCAACAGAGATGTGGTTTATGAGACGAATGTTACGAATACCTTGGACAACCACAGTAACTAACGATTGCTTGAAAGAAGCTAATGAAAATAGATCTCAATATACAACAATAAGAAAGAGACAAATACTATTATTCTATGGCCCCATAATCAGAAGAGGGACATTAGAGAAAATTGTGACAACTGGAAAGATCAGTGGAAAAAGGGGTAGAGGCAGACCAAGAGAGATGATGCTGAATGGGCTGAAACGATGGCATAGAGGGATATCATCGAGAAAGCTGTTCCAGGCAACCAGGGAAACTGGCTACCGAGGTAAGAAAAAAAAAAAAAAAGAATCAAGACAAGATTTCTGCAGTGGCACAGTGACCATTGCACTTGCTTGCTAACCTGGTGAACATGTGTTTCAACAAGGTGAAGTTGAATGTTTAAGAATTGACACCACAGCACTCAGGACTTTCCCATAAGCGCTCTGTCCCTATCTTCAGCAGCAAGCGTAAAGTTAATGGTACCAGTAACAGTCAAACTGTATATCTATTTTGCCTTTCCCCTGAGTGTTGAGCAACGGCCAGGTTCTCTGGTCACTTCCCTGAAGCACTATTCTTCTCAGCCAATAAAGATCTAGCTGTGCCTTGGTACTGTTCATTCGTTCCCAAAGGATCCTTACAACATCTAGCTTGTCATGCATCAATTCACCACCAAGAGGTACAGAACCCAGTCCAACTTACTTGTCTGGAAGGAAGAGCTTGAAAAGAAAGGGATGACCATCAGTGTCTCCAAAACTAAAACCATGGTGATCTCAAGAGAGGAGAAGAAACACCAGATCATGATGGGACAGTATGCAGGTTAACCAGTTCAAATACCTTGGAGCTGTATTAGACCAAAATGGAGGCATTAAGACTGAGCTGGCTACACGAAGAGCAGCTGCTGGGAGACTCTTCCAGGCCATAAACCGAGGGTTTCTTAGCAAAAGAGAAATTGGCAAGAGGACGAAAATGGCTGTTTACCGCTCTACCTATGTACCAGTCCTGACCTTTGGGTGTGAGTCATGGGCAATGACAACAGCTCACAGAAGCCAGCTGCAGGCCTCGGAAATGAGATACCTGAGAAAGGTGGTCCAAGTGACAAGAAGGGACAAAGTCCGCAATCAGACAATACGTCAAGATCTTGATACCCAGCCCTTACTAACCCGAGTGGATCAGTCACAGTTACGATGGTTTGGACATGTGTGCAGAATGGGAGAAAATCGGCCACCATGGCAAGCATGGGAGGCTAAGAACCAGGGAACCAGACCTCCGGGACGACCCAGGGTGCGCTGGGAAGACAACATCCGACAGTCCCTGACTGACAGAGGACTGGAATGGAACAAAGCCAGAAAGAAAACTGCTGATAGAGACGTCTGGCGATCTCTCTGGCAAACCTCTACACCCCAAGGTAGAAGAGGAGCGACTAAGTAAGTAAGAGGTACAGAACCACAAGCTGGAAAATTTTACTGACCAGTCTGCCAATTCTTTAATAAGTACAAAAGGGGGAAATAAAGAACCTCCTGATATAAAGTACAATAAACAGCATAAAAACAAATGTCTACCTGCTACTAGCACACGATCCCGTCTTTCTGCCTCTAGTTTCACCCCTTGAAGTAGATTTCTCGTCAGCAGACTCTTTACTGTTGGACTTTGATGACTTCAGTGTCTTTCTGGCTGAGTACTTGTTTGTTTCAGACTTTTTTGAGCATGAAGCCACACTTTCGGACTTCTTAGGCAGTGGTGGTGACGACCTGCTCGTTGAAGATGGACCAGGAGTGCTGGCCGAAAGCTGAACTTCCTTCTCCTCGTTGGATGAAGATCGAAGGCAGCGCTTCTTTGGTGTTGAAGAACGAGAGGAAAGAATTTCCCCAGGTTCAATGCAGTTGTCCAAACTGCTATACAAATGACTTTCAGAATCTGAATTAGCCGCTGCAGTTGCCTTCTCTGCTTTTGCTTTCTTAGCACTCGCTGTTCTTTTTTTCAATTTTCCCTTGTTTTTGGGAGTAAGACCTGTTAAACAAGCAAACACTTCTTAGAATAATCATAATTTATGCTTGAAAATGACTACACTGCAAAACATTACAACCATCTTGCAACTCCTTCAGCACCTACCAACCAACTCACCAAACGTCTGTTGGGTTCTATTTTATTCAAATGTTTTTTCTTAGCTACTCAAATGCAGTTGTTAGAACTAACCAAAACTGTCATCAAGGTCTATTAGAAAACAAACAGGCCGACAGATTGGCTGGTTCTGCCCCAGTGAGTGCTAAACAGATGCATGACAATATGGTCAAGGCCCTCTGAGAAGTCTGAAGAACAGATCAACATCATGGCACACGGGTAGTGTCTCATAAGTGCTCCGTTCATCTTCTAACTCAAGTCTATGCAAACGGGCATCCAATTTCACTAGCCAGAGACCAGGGGTAATTAATAGAAGTCCAAGCCTAAGTGATAAAATCTCAGCCCTTACCGGGTATTAAACCCGAAACCTCTAGCACCCGAGGCAGACACCATGCCTCAAGACCACCCAGCTCACCCCCTCCTGTTTGAGAGCAAGGGAACAATGAAGAAGCTTGACTAAATCATTAGGGTCTGGAGATTAAGACACCCCTCTCCTTTTCCAACAAATCAGATTCCGGAACCCAGACAGGGAGAATCAACAAGAATACAGCAGAGTGCACACAAAGGTGGAGGGTACCTTTGAGCCCCTTTCGTCAGGTTATCACAACTGGTTACTGCCTGCGTTTACCACTTTTTACTGTGGTGTAGGACAATGACACAGCCATGAAAACACAGAAAATGTAATGTTACGGACGCGTAATAAGATCTAACGGCCTCTCTAAAACAATGCTACACAGGCCAGAAGAGGGGAAGAGGCAGAAAAAGAAGAACCTGGTTACAAACTTGACTGAGTGGACAGGCCTTAGGCATGCAGCCAAGAGTCCACTGCATCTGACCGTCAAAGGTGGAGGCAGCTAATAAGACAGTCAATAGCAACTGGCGACCCAACTTGCAGTGTCATGGGACGATGAGGACTGTATGGTGGGCAGGGTTCCTTGAGCTAGAAGATTTAAAGAGGCATGGCTACTGCAGTAACCATGCCTCTGCAGGTTACAATGTTCATTTTCAGATCACTACCTGTGTTAACTGTCGCTGTCTGTGGCTTAGGTTTTGACAGCGACCGCCTAGAAAGCAACGGCAAATTTCTGGACGTAAATTTGCCTAGAAAAACAACAACAGCCAGAAAGTGCTGGAGTTGGTTCTGCAACATCCTGTAAAGGATGCGCAACTAAAAAAAAAAACCTGTGTCGACTAGGGTTCATAAAGAAAGCAAAGAATGGTACTACAACCTAATAATATGCATATCACAAGAGACAACACCCCATGTGGGTTCTTAGGTGTTAAAAAAAAAAAAACACTGACTCCCTAACAAGCATGTTGTAAAAACGACTAATTAGGAATTTTTACTCTCTGAAGTCGCAACACATCTGCCTGAGCGGCGAGGAACTAATAGTCTGCATACAGCCAGATCTGTTAAACGGATGTGCATGTAAAATTCAAGCACCAGGACAAAGATTGAAGTCAAGAAATGGACGAGCAACCAGAACTTTCCACTGGAGTTTACAGCCAACTGCTGCAGCCGTTATTGACTAAGAAGATGCGTACAACAGCGTCCCATAAACATGCTCATCAGACTGCTGTTGGATATGCAGATAGAAACAAAATTGGTCAACTGGATGGCAGCAGTGCTCATTTGAAAGAACAGTGTCGCTTCGATGTGGTAAATAGGCATCCGAACCTCAACGCGTCCTAATGGGTCTGCCCCAGGGATCACCATTGTCGCCTGCGCTCTTCAATGTGTACACAGCATGAGACACGAGTGCACAAAGCGTAGGCATAGGCAGAACAATGTCATATGCAGATGATATCCTTGTTTACCGTCGAGGTAAAAACAGGCAGGAAATTACAACTACACTACAACACGAACTAGACAGACTTAGTGAGTGGTGCCAGGAATCAAGAGCTCAGGTGAACCCGTCCAAAGCCTCCTTAACATGGTTCTCTCTGAATACCCACATCGTTAGTACACCAACGCCAGTCGTAAGCATCTGTGGTGTGGACATCGACAGAACGGACACCATGAAATACTTGGGCATGACATTTGACAGATGCTTGTCATACAAATGCCACGTAGACAACGTAATACTTAGAGCCAGGACAGGCCTGACAGCACTCAAGGTGCTAGCAGCAACTGATATTGAACAACGCCTACTTTTCCTTCTCTATCAAGGGCTTGTGCTTAGCGTCATTGACTATGGTCTTGGCCTCCTCACTGTCAGCAAAACCCAGCTAGAAAGACTGGACCGAGTACAAAATGAGGCCATGGGACTCATACTCGGCTGCACAAAAGACACCTCCTGCAACGCCATGCGTTATGTTCTGGGTTTGCCGACGATGACTAGCAGATACAAAGTGGCAAAGGTCAAGGCTTACATGAGGGTATCGGCAGACGTTAACCACCCATTGCACAAAGCTATACACGACACAAAAGAACCGCGTCTCAAAAGAGGCCGCTCTTGCATGGCAAAGGTTGAGGATTTAATCCAGCAGGTATGTGACCTAGACGTGATCAGTCACGGAAAAGAATGGACGAATATACCAGTAGACATGCGTGGCATCTCTAAGGTTGTCTTCACACTCGGAAGGTACTGCAGGGATCAAATTCCTGCAGCCGTAGACACAGAAGTAAGGGAACTGATAGCCAAAAGATATCATCATCTACATAGATGGATCCGTGAAGCGTGGATCAAGGTCAGCATGGGCATACACAGCGCAAAGAAGGTGGAAAACAATACATGAGGACAGCGGCGCTTACCAGACAACCACGTCAAGCATGACAATGGAAATAGTCGCTGCTTCTAGAGCTTTAGCGTGGGTATCCGAGCAAACCGCCACACAGGCAGTAATTGTCTCAGACTCAACGAATATGCTTCAGAAGATAGCAACAGGCAGTATGCGCTCTGAATGGATAGAAAGCATTCGGAAATCGCACTTAACCTCCGTAATCTGGATCTGCACACCAGGTCATGCGGGCGTAAAGGGAAATAAGCAAGCGGACCAACTGGCAAGCACTGCACTAATGATTGCGGGGAAAAGCATGGACACAGCAGATATCGTCAATACTGTATGGGCTGGGCTAGTGGATAATCAGGAATCCCTGACACTGGCACGATTGCGTGACATGAGAGTTAAGCATGGTGATGCACGCCTTTGCCGTCTTCGGGGCCGAGAAAGGAGACGATATAACCAGCTTCTCATGGGGACAATTAGTAGAAGTACTTTGGAGTGGCTGCTGCTTCGGAGAACTGAGCACACATGGGTATGCCCAATGTGCAGTGACATCAAGTGTGATAACAAAACATAAAATAACATCTTGTAGGGAGTCGGCAGTCCGAAACCCAAGTTCAAGGTGTCTCCTTCGTGCCAAAGAACTGCATGGCTGTTGGGTGAACAGTCGTTAACGAAGGCAGGCAGGTCGTTGTAGGGGCGCCTGCTGGTGGATGTAATGTCCTAAGTCCCTTCCCCAGCTAATAATGAGGGTACTGCTGGGGTGACCTTTTATTAACCCTCATATAATGCTTCAGGTCAAAATGGACGCTAGGCACAGCCACCTTTTTTTTCCCTGCCAGATATATAGGTTCGTCGCCCAGCTTTTGAGTTGAGTGCATGGCGTGACACTGTGAGCTACGTGTATTTTTTTTTTTGGCACAGGAACGGAGCAACTATGGCTATCTCATAGAGAAAATAAAACTTACGCTGCAAAATTCAACCAAAGCTACAAAGGATTTAATGAATATCCAGACAACTAAGAATCGTCCTTATCTGCACAAGACTGGACTGCAGATTACATCATGCTGGTATAGTCATTACGGGGGCCCTAATTATAACTTCTTTGAAGGAGGTTGAACAGGGTATCTGGGATCTGCATTGTTGGTCTGCCATCCGGATTAAGATTTGATAAATCTCAGGATGGCATGGTAAACATTTAGGTAGCAGCCCAGAAGGGACAAACAGGGATAGAACCTAAAGAAAAATATTCGGGCAGGGGGTCTTCTAAAAGATGGGGAGGACATCGGGTGAGCTGCATGTGATAGCACAGGAGAGAATGACTCGGTTAATGGACTAGGCTTCATTAAGGGATCAAGAGCAGAAGAATACAAAACAATTTTTTTTAATACATACCTGGCTCGTCTCCGGCACCTGTAAATCCTGCAGACCTGGCAGAATGCTGTAAATTATCTGCAGACTTTCTTTTCTTCCCTTTTGCTTTTTTCACAACGACTGTTTCACTTAATAACTCCTCAGTTATCCCTCTAAAGGCTGCCGCCTCTAAGTCTGCTTCAGCCAGCGAGACGTGAGATTTTCTAGGTCTAAGGCACCTCTGCTCTCCTTTGAACTCCTCCTTTCCCTTTTCAGTGGCTTTCTCACTAGCGTTCACTGGAAATGTTGTACCACTTTTGGAGTGGCTGAGTTCAGTTTTAACAGATTTTGAGGATCCTTGGGTTGGCTCGCTCTGCAGCAAACTTGACAAAGTGTCTTTGCCAGCCTTTCCTTTTCTAGCTCTCCTAACTTTAGCAGGAGGTGATGAGTCAGGACCCACACTATTTGATCTGGTGGACAAATTGTTTAAAGTTGTTATTGGACTTGCACAGAAAACACAATTATTGTATTTCTCCCAGGTAAATGGCACACTTTTTCCCCCCAAAACATGAGTGTCTAAAAAACAGTGTGCGTCATACTATGGTAGAAGAGCTTTACATAATCCTAGTTTTTTTTTTTTTTTTTTTTCAAAATTGCCTGTCCTAAAGTCAAAGTGTATCTTATACATGGGTAAATATAGTAAATTTAAGTTATACCTTTCTTTATCACACACACATGCCAGATAAACAAAAACCTGTCAAAAGAGGGAGTGACCCTGAAGTTAGCAGCATGTCCTCTTCATGACACTTCTAACCAACCCCTATTTCAGTGGTTATCAACCTTACTAATGTGAGAAAGCCTTATATGAATGTTATGAAAAGGTGCTGGATTGTATTTCATCTATGATATCGAAGAAACTGCACAGGATATAAAGGAATGGACTAATAAACTGTGAGCCACATATGAAATATAACTGCACAACAGCACAATGATGAATCTGCTGTCAAACTACCTGCAGGTGACCACCACAAGATAGTAAGTAATTTACAGATAATCACAAAATTGTGCAATGGAGAAGAACATTATTTTAACAATTTGGTATCTGATATTAAAGCAGCAAAAGTATCATGGATAGTGCATCCATGTGCCAATGCAACACTCTCTGGTTTAAATCTGCTGGAGTTTGGATTTTTTGGTGTCTTATTATGTATTCAGGGTCAATCCAGCCTCATAAGGATGGACACAAGAACATTTGTTAAGAGCTAAGATATGCTGGCAGATGTTTTTCACTGAATGCTACTGGGTAAGAAACTAAGCATGGCACCATAAGCCCACAATATGTAATGGTGGCATGGGAATGGGGTCTCTTGAAGTTGGTTAGTGGGTGTGTTGTACACACTGAGTGCTGTGTGTGTGTGTATGTAGGTATGTATGGAAGATAGTATCCCAAATACTGTGGTACTTGATAGGGCAGATCTGCCTAGCCTCCACATGATACTGAAGAATGATCCTAGCCTCCACATGATACTGAAGAATGATCCTAGCCTCCACACAATACTGAAGATTGATCCTAGCTCCCACACAAGACTGAAGAATGATCCTAGCCTCCACATGATAATAAAGAATGATCCTAGCCTCCACACAATACTGAAAAATGATCCTAGCCTCCACATGATACTGAAGAATGATCCTAGCCTCCACACAATACTGAAGAATGATCCTAGCCTCCACACAATACTGAAGAATGATCCTAGCCTCCACACAATACTGAAGAATGATCCTAGCCTCCACACAAGACTGAAGAATGATCCTAGCCTCCACATGATAATAAAGAATGATCCTAGCCTCCACACAATACTGAAGAATGATCCTAGCCTCCACATGATAATAAAGAATGATCCTAGCCTCCACACAATACTGAAGAATGATCCTAGCCTCCACACAATACTGAAGAATGATCCTAGCCTCCACACAATACTGAAGAATGATCCTAGCCTCCACATGATACTGAAGAATGATCCTAGCCTCCACATGATACTGAAGAATGATCCTAGCCTCCACACGATACTGAAGAAAGATCCTAGCGTCCACACGATACTAGAGAATGATCCTAGCCTCCACACAATACTGAAGAATGATCCTAGCCTCCACACAATACTGAAGAATGATCCTAGCCTCCACACAATACTGAAGATTGATCCTAGCCTCCACACAATACTGAAGAATGATCCTAGCCTCCACGCAATACTGAAGAATGATCCTAGCCTCCACATGATACTGAAGAATGATCCTAGCCTCCACACGATACTGAAGAATGATCCTAGCCTCCACACGATACTGAAGAATGATCCTAGCCTCCACACAATACTGAAGAATGATCCTAGCCTCCTCACAATACTGAAGAATGATCCTAGCCTCCACATGATAATAAAGAATGATCCTAGCCTCCACACAATACTGAAAAATGATCCTAGCCTCCACATGATACTGAAGAATGATCCTAGCCTCCACACAATACTGAAGAATGATCCTAGCCTCCACACAATACTGAAGAATGATCCTAGCCTCCACACAATACTGAAGAATGATCCTAGCCTCCACACAAGACTGAAGAATGATCCTAGCCTCCACATGATAATAAAGAATGATCCTAGCCTCCACACAATACTGAAGAATGATCCTAGCCTCCACACAAGACTGAAGAATGATCCTAGCCTCCACATGATAATAAAGAATGATCCTAGCCTCCACACAATACTGAAGAATGATCCTAGCCTCCACATGATACTGAAGAATGATCCTAGCCTCCACACGATACTGAAGAATGATCCTAGCCTCCACATGATACTGAAGAATGATCCTAGCCTCCACACAATACTGAAGAAAGATCCTAGCGTCCACACGATACTAGAGAATGATCCTAGCCTCCACACAATACTGAAGAATGATCCTAGCCTCCACACAATACTGAAGAATGATCCTAGCCTCCACACAATACTGAAGATTGATCCTAGCCTCCACACAATACTGAAGAATGATCCTAGCCTCCACACAATACTGAAGAATGATCCTAGCCTCCACATGATACTGAAGAATGATCCTAGCCTCCACACGATACTGAAGAATGATCCTAGCCTCCACACGATACTGAAGAATGATCCTAGCCTCCACACAATACTGAAGAATGATCCTAGCCTCCTCACAATACTGAAGAATGATCCTAGACTCCACATGATATGAAAGATTGATCCTAGACTCCACATGATATGAAAGATTGATCCTAGACTCCACATGATACTAAAGATTGATCCTAGCCTCCACATGATATGAAAGATTGATCCTAGCCTCCACATGATATGAAAGAATGATCCTAGACTCCACATGATATGAAAGATTGATCCTAGACTCCACATGATACTAAAGATTGATCCTAGCCTCCACATGATATGAAAGATTGATCCTAGCCTCCACATGATATGAAAGATTGATCCTAGCCTCCACATGATATGAAAGATTGATCCTAGACTCCGCATGATACTAAAGATTGATCCTAGCCTCCACATGATACTAAAGATTGATCCTAGCCTCCACATGATATGAAAGATTGATCCTAGACTCCACATGATACGAAAGAATGATCCTAGCCTCCACATGATATGAAAGATTGATCCTAGCCTCCACATGATACGAAAGAATGATCCTAGCCTCTACACGATGCTAAAGAATGATCCTAGTCTCCACACGATGCTGAAGAATGATCGTAGTCTCCACACGATGCTGAAGAATGATCCTAGCCTCCATACGATGCTGAAGAATGATCAGCTGCCAAATAGCCTGCATGCCAGACTCAATCAGACAGTAGCATGTCCTTTGCAGAAGCTTGCTCCCATAACAACCCCCTGGAAAACTTCTCGATCACAAGCAAGACGTTACGCATCTGATACAACAATCTGGAAATCATCTGCCACATTCTTCACCCACCTTCTCATGTCAGACTACCACCTCACAAGGTATTTTATGGCGAACTCCAGCAAGGGAAGAGGTCACAGGGAGATCAGAAAAAGAGCTACAAGGACACACTCAAAACTCCTCTCAACTCTTTTAGCATCAACACAGCAACATGGGAAACTGCAGCACAGCATCGTTCTGGATGGCAGCATAAGTTGCACAGGTAGTGAAACAGAAGCACACTAGAAAGAACCGTATTGCTACTCCCACACCTACTACAGCTTCCACCTGATGTCCACGCTGCTTAAGAACTTTCTGGGCTCATATTGTATTGGACTAATCAGACATCTTTGTACTCATAATTATTGATCATTACTACTTTGGATGAAAAATGCTCGTGATGGACGAACGTGTATGGAAGCATTAAGGAGGATGGTCAGTCAGTCAGAAGTCACCAGTCTTAATTGAAACTGGTTCATGAATGCAAACTAAAGTGGTCATCCAAAAGCTTTGTTCTACCTTTACATACACCTTAGTTAAAGTTTTTTCATGTGCTGGGGTACACTATGAAACACATCTACTCATTCCTACAACAACTGTCTCTCTATGGTATAAATTCTGCTGTTTAAACCATAATACTGTTTAATATTGGAGGACTTTAATCAGGTTGCAACTGGTATTATTAGCATGTTGACTCTTCACTTGCTATTGAGGAAGGAGACGGAGCAAGTGTGGGAACGTATCGAGTGCAGTGATGTGAATTTATTCACTGACTATTCACAATGTTTTCTATTATGTATGAAAGTTGGCTACAACAGATTTCCAACACATAATGTCATTCCACCTGGTTCTACACTCTCTTTGGCAGCAGACAACAGACAAAAACTGCACACACATACACAGAGTTGCATAGTGGTAGACCACACGGGTTCTGTCCTATTCCACTCAGCAAATCATGTGCAAGATACATCATACATACCTGATGACAGATCACAACAATTAGGTATAAGACAAAAAATGAGAATAAGCAGGAAAACAATAATCCAACATCTCTGTGATATTGTGTTCCATGATGTAGAGTCATACACTTAGTTGGAAGTAGTACAGACAATGAAAAGAGAATTGACAGAGATATTAAAATGAAATAAAAAGTTAGGAGGAGTTTTTAAAGCACTAGGAAATCTATGGAATTCAAAAGAAATTAGCACTCAAAAGCTTCAGCTGTAATGCCAAAACAGTACTGCTGTGTGGAGCTGAAACATGGAGAACAACTAACAAAATTACCAATAAACTACAAACGTACATTAACTGGTGCCTGTGCAGAATATAGGCAATTAAATAGTACAATAGAATCACTAATTCAGAACTTTGGGAGAGAACTAAGCAAATTCTGGTGTTTCAAGAGATGAAGAAAAGACTGGTGTTGAACAGAACACACTGAGAAAAGCATAGAACATTATAACTAAAGCACTGGAACCCACATGGACACAGAAATTAAGGCAGGGCAAAACAAACAAACACACAAAAATGGAGAAGGGAACTATGGAGTATACTGAGTGTGCTGCAGGTGATAAAGGACAGGACAACCTGACAAGAGCTGGCTGAAGGCCTATGCTCCACTGAGGGGATAAAGAATAGAACAGAAGACCACAAAGCAGACCAAAAATACGAAAAGAAAATAAAGAGGCAGACCTACAGATGCTTAGAATCATGAAGTGCAAAGAAAAGAGCCAAATGGACGCAGGTGAGATCTGCAGCAATGAACTTCACTTCAAGGGCTTGGAATGCTGAAGAAAGAGAAGCACATAAATTATCAGTACATCACAATACCTATACATCATTGACATTTTATTGTACTGTCCCAGACTTACATGGTTGTAGTCGAATTTCCCCCTGCACTGCGCCTGCGTTTACTACCCCCCGCCAGCTCCTCACATTGAGCATCCATATGCTACCACACGCACCCAGCACATGCCAGATGTAGTCTGCAAATCCATAGAAAACAAACATAAAATAATTAATCAACTTAAAAATATATTTCCTTTAGGGTTAGACAAATCAGATTAATAACAAGCACCCACAGCGGGAACATGCACAGCAGGAGCCTACCGATCCTCAGTTGATGTCCCCCTTAAAAAATTGTTTCGGCCAGTTTATCTCTTAGAAATCTCCGGAAGGGGGGGGGGGGGGGGGGGGGGGGTCCGGGTCATGACTCCCAGGCCTCGGACATTTCCTGCGGCATTTATCGGACAATCATTCAAGACATTATGGTGATTGCAACAGGTACTGAGGTTACGGAGATATATCATCGCAGCGGTAGCAAATTTAAGTGCATGCCTGTACGACCAGAGTGACGATTTGTTCATCGGAAGTGCCTGCCTGTACAACCAGAGTAACAGTTGGTTCATCGGACAGACTTTGGTAGCGGCACGGGCAGACAATAATTGGATGGTTTTGGCTTAAGGGATCTGAAAGTACATACACACACATATATACTGGTAAGGGGCAGTGACTCTATACCAGGTGGGCCCTTAGTCTAGAAATAGCAGCTGATCTAGGAGGCTAGCTTGGACAGGGCAGGCAGACAGCGCAGCACTTACTTGGCAGTTTGTGCAGTAGTTTTGTTTCCAACATATCAGTGATACCTTTTCTTTAGAATAAACTAACTAAGCCAACAGAAGGGTCATGATTTATAGGCAACAAATGGTCTCTACAATACAGCCCAGGCTTTGTGCTAGAGAGAGAAGGAACCTCATCCCAGGCCTTAAATAGCTATGATTCCCAGGGCTCTGCATAACACAATACAACATTATCGTCTGGAAAGACGAGAAGATGGCATTGAATAACTAGCTACTGTCCATCTTCTTCTTAGCGTTCACCTGCCGTAAACGGTGTAAAGTTCTGGTTGTTCACTTCTGGCCTTCAGTCTTGTTCCACAATGTAAGTTTTGTGTGCACATTCGTTTTACAGATATGGCTTATTTGCATGCAGACTGCTGGTTCTTCACCTCTCAGGTACAGAAACTCTTGACTTTAAAGGAAACACAGTCACCTTTAACTTTATGCTTGTTAGAAGGGCAGTGGGCATATTCTTGTTTCCCAAAACTGGGGCCGTAGAACCCACATTGGAAATGGGTTTGCTGAAATCGGATCTGTTGAGCCAAAAGGCAAATACTGCATGTTTTGTTTCCCTGTATAGGTTCCAGGGTCACATTCTGGGGGAAAGAGCCAACTGCTCCCCCACAATCATACTGAACAAAAAAGTGACTAATTAGAGGTTTTTTTTCTTTTAAAGTTGGAGTGCATCTGCATAAAAGATGAAGAAGCAACAATCTGTATATATCTCAGCTAGATCTGAAAAATGGATGTGCTATAAAACTCTAGCTCTGGAACATGACCAATGTCCAGTAGAGGACAAACAATCAGAACTGTCAGAGTTTACAGCCAGTGAATGACAAGAAAAAGAAGACAACATGCTTCATAAAGGGCAGTGGGTCAATTATTTTTCCCCCAAAAGAGGAGCCCAATACCCACATGGGTACCCAATTACCATATTTGAAGCTTGGTCTTTTTGACGATAGGGAGTATTCTTAACATTCGAAAAAAAAAAAAAGAAATCATATCTCTACTCTACAGCCTCTATTTTTTTTTAAATCTAGATATTCAATGTTAATGTTTCCTAGGCATACAATCAGAGAATCATCAAAGGAGATGAAGGACCTACAAGAGAAATCCTAATACAAATGATGAGAGAGGTCATAGATACTGGACTGAATTCCATACATGACATTGAAAGGACAGCACAAGATAAAATGGAATTGAGGAACACAAATTGAGCCCTATGTGACTCATAAAAGCATAAGGGGATGACAATGTTAAAGGCATACAGTATTTTTAGGCAGGGCATCAAATTCTAAAACTTTCTGACTCCCATGAAAAAAAAAGATATGTTACAACACTGTAATCCATATTATGTTTTGACTGCTGGGCGTCACATGGTTCAAGCTAGGGCATGCTTGGTTGCCCGGTATGCTGTGATGATGTGGAGCCTCATGGTATCAGTGACTCCTTCTATCCATCTTCCTCCTGGTCATCCCCTACTTCTTGGTATTTCTATGTTCATGATGTATGATTTTGCTGCTGGCATCATTGGATTCATACTCATTAAATGGCCAAATGATTTAATTGTTTCTCTTTAAGAGGTGCTGTTCCAATAGTTCTTATTAATTCGTTTCTCACATGAACTTTTCCAGTTTAGTTTAGTTCATGGCCTTACTTTCTCAAATATCTCATTTTGCAGGTACTTAAAACTAGTACTAGGAAATCAATGCAGACAGCATATGTTGATCATTTCACTCATTGAGTGCTGACTGGTGGTTACATATAGGTCTTGCCCCATATGCCTGATGCATCAGAGTAGTGAAATAGGTTCCTTATTTTTATTACTTCCTTTACCATCTGAACTGACCCAGTGCACATCAGCAGAACCAAAGGTCGACCACACAAATGATGGGCAGATGGAACATCAGTAATATCCAAGACCATAAATATTAGCCCCTCTGTAGCACATAACCAAGAATCTCACATGATGCCTCTTCAAAACCTGATGCTGAAAGGTACTACAGGACTAGAATAGAAGAAGAGCTCAGAATGGGAAACAGATTAACACCATAGCACATGCAGCTCTCAGGATCTAGTATGGGTGTCCATCAGTTAACTCTTTTCAGTTTTCTGTCTTCACAGAGAAAGCAACAGTGTTCCATTGTGCATTAGGGAGGCATGGAAATCACAGCCCATGATGATGACCATCATGAGTGTGACCAGTGAAGTGTCACTAGCAAGACCAACTTGTCACGACTTGTGTTGAGAATCGTCCACAATAAAAAAAAGTCATGAGAATTTGAGACCACAGTGGCCATCACATGTAGTATGCAGTATTTACATGTTTCTTTTCAGAAGTTATGCTTTCAACTGACTTGACCAGTCTTCAATCTTTTTTCCTTGATCATTAGAATAATGCAATAGAGTAAAGAAAGTATGTATACAGTACTGTATACACTACAGAGTGACTTCTGACTAGTGATTCAGTAGCATACTATACTGTGTGTATGTATGATGATATTATTTGCATAATGCTGAGGCAGGGTTTATTTTTTTTTAAACCTGTATATCATAGTTAAATGACTGAGTGAGATCAACCATAAAAATGAGTACTAGCCAATTTTTATTATTTTCTGGGCATAAATAAGGCAATGAGAAAAGGCAATAGCTGAATAGCAACCCCATTTCATATCTGATATGTTGTGGCCTAGCTATTGAGGTAACTCACTCACTAACTGTCATGTCATTGTTTGTTGTCCTGTTAATTAAACTTAATTGACGAATTTTAAGTAAACTACATCAACAACCAACAGTATAAGTATCCCTCTATCTGCTATGAAACACAACCTTTAATAAACTTATACAGCCTTGGCCATTAACAACAGAGATGAGATACCCACTTACCCTAACAACAGAAAAGGTTGCCAAAGACTGAGGAAGGCTTCAAACGACATGTGGATATGGATAGCAAGGGGAAACGACCCTATATTTAGCCTAGATTTACAAAAACATACCCAAACGCCTAACAACAATTAAATCGGTTTAAAACTTTAGAGGCCAGATATTTTTTTTAATTGCTCAATGTTGACGATATGAAAAAAATACAGCTGCTATTGTTGCTTCAGCAGGAAATTCTAAATTTTTTCAACGAATTCCCTTCATTATATTAGACACCTTTTTGAGAAACTCATCATCATGGCTCTGCTGCCATTTCATTTGGTTTGGTTGACTTCGTTGTGGTAACGCTAAATCGTGTCACGCAGCGCCGAACTACAGAAAGATCGGACAGTCAAAAAACTGCATTGGCTGTGACAGATCTAAAAATACAAGTAGCGTAAAGAAAAGTTTGGTCAAAGCTTCTCACTTGTATTCTGTAAACAATGAATTCACAAAGGTTTTTGATTACAGCTGTAATGGATCCTCTACTCACAGATGATGATGCGCACGCATATTTTGACGACTTCCGTTCTATAAATATCGTCTGCGAGAGTTGTAACTACGGGAAATGTTTACAGCTTCTCTAAATTGTTTTTTAATATATAATACTATACGAATATTGTCAATACAAATCTGTCTTCTTCTTACATAACATATATTTTTTCATGCAACACTTAAGTGTTGGACCATTTAAAATAATTTTTTAAAAATAAACCTTGATGAACGCTGTTCTTTCGTACACGTTTTTTTTTTAGTGGTTTTTGTGTGAAGACATGTCTTTGTACAATAATAGTACACAACATGTAAGAAGCTATGATATGACAAATCTTCTTCTACACTGTCGTATTATAATCTTTGCAAGACGAAATAGCGAAAATATTAGTAAACTACGCAAGACATTCTTAAACTTGAACAGTTTGTCAAATATCACAAAAAAATATGTCTTCTTGTATGAAAAATTTTCATTTAACATTTTAGTTTTGCCTTTCTGAAATAATTCTACACAATAATAACACAATTATGAATGGTGTCCCTAAGTGGTAAGGGTAATTACAAAGAAAACTGACCCTCCAAAACGCAACCGTAAAGTAAATGGGACAAACCTCATGCAAATGAAATGTTTAAGTATTTTGGGGACCCTGAAAACATCAGGGTCCCCAAAATACTGAAATGCTATAGAAAGATTCTCAGAATTTCTTAGACAAAGAAGAGGAGAAATACTTGAATCTTGAGAGATCTAAACATCAAGGAAGATTGGCAAATAAACAGCATCCTGTCTCGGCAGCTGACATATTTTGGTCATATCATGCGCCACGACCGATTGGAAAAATTATAGAAGGCATGGTACCAGGAAAGAGGTACATGGGTCGACCGACACGAAGATGGGCACAGGATATAAATGACTCCTTGA